TGACAGAGCAAGACCCTGCACCAAAAAACAACATTACCCTCAGGTCCTCCACCTCTGGTTTCTCCCTAAACAGTGAGAGCAAACAGACGTCATCTCATGCACCACCAATTCCAACTGACCTGGAGTGGTTGTGTTAAGATGGAGGCTACATCTAGTCTCAAGAGGGAAAACAGTATCATGATCGATTAATAAGGTCTACCACAGGGACACGATATGAAAGGGGTTATGTATTTTCATTTAGTCATGTATTTTAATTTGGAAAGTGATAGAAAGGCAAAGCACCTTCAGCAAGAACTCATAAGAATGGAAATGGAACTAAAAGCGTTCATTCAGCACATACTACTAGCTCACCAAGTGCTGGCACTAAAATAGCTCAAAGTCACAGAATGTGAGAGGTTCCATGGGAGTTCAAGGGAGTCCGGAAAGACTTTCTGGAGAAGGTGATCACTAAGCTGGTTCCTTGAGGATAGATGGAACCCAGCCAGTCAAATGGAAGGTGAAAAGGGAGGAAAAGGGAGGCAAAGAGGGCTGGAAAATGGAGTGGTCCAGCAGGGAGAGGGACTGCCAAGGGTAAAGCTCTGCAGGCCATGTGTGGGGCTACAATCCATTAGGAAAGGCTACAGCACAGATTTTAAGGTGGGGTAATAGGGAGCTACTGAGGCTTCTAGGCAGGGAGTGGCAAGACTAAATGACATCTAAGTGTCCCCACCCCTGCCCTTCAATTGTTTTTTTCCCCCTGCCATGCTCAGCCAGGACCTTCAGTTGTTAATGCTCTAGAACAGCTGTAAAAATGACCTAAAAAATGAGAGAGCAGGCCTCACCGAAGTCAGTCTTGCAAACTGATCATTCAGGTGAGATCTGATTACTGGGTCAAGGTAAGAGAATGATAGACAGAGGGCCGGCCTCTAAGTGGATGTAGTAAAACCTGTCCCACTGGAGAGAGATCGATTGGAGATACAGAGGAGGGGCAACTGGATGCTCTAAACCTGGCAGGCAGGAGGCCGTTTTGCAGCCCACGCCCACTGAAGCAGAAATCTCCACCTTCACCAAACCCAACAAGGGTTTAAGAAATGTGGTTTCTAGCACCAATAAGGGGTGCGAATAATAAAAAAAAAAAAAAAAAATGTGGCTACCCTAATAGGTTAAAAGGCTTCACACCCTTCAATCCAGCAATTTCACTTCTGAATGTGAGAAATAACCAAAGAAGGGTGCACAGAAACATGCAAGGATGCTCACTGCAGCGCTGTTTACCAGAGCAAAAGATAAGCAGCAAAGTGCATGTCCAACAGTAGGGGATTAGTTAAATAAATTTCAGGCCACATTGAAACAACAGAATCCCAAGCAGCTATAAACAATGATGGTTGACACAAAAAGATGACCATACTATATACTATTAGATAGAAAAGTGGGTTATACTTTTTTTTAAAAAAAAAAAAGACAGATATAAATGAGTCTGGAAGGAAAACACTCTGAAATGTCAGCAGAGAGTCTTTAAAACCCTACTATGGAAGATTGTGAGAGGATTAAGTAGACTAATCTACATAGAGTACTTGGCACATAGTACTTGCTCAATAAATGACAGGGAGTTTTTTTTTTTTTTTAAATATAGCGTTTGTTTTCACTCAGTTTTCCTTCAATCAACAGATCTTCTTGGCAGAATTAAACACTTTTTAAAACCACAGCTTTCAGCTCTTTGCCATATTTTTATTTACAGCAATGGTTCTTACCCAAAGGTAATTTTGGGTCTCTGGAGATAGTTGTGGCTGTCACAACTTGGGGAGAGGGCGGTGCCACTGGCCTCTACTAGGTAGCGGTCAGGGGTGCTGCTAAACATCTCCTCACGTACAGGACAGCCCCCCACCACAAAGAATGATCTGGCCCCAAATTTGGCAGTACCATGGTGGAAAAACCCTGATTTGGAGGAAACTGTCATTGCAATGCCTTTCAGATTCCTTGCGTCTGTCACCCCAGATCTGCTTCATTCCAGAGACACAAAGCCTACCCAGGATCCTCCTGGTGACCAGACACTCCCAAGATCTAGACAGAGCCCCTACTTTAGAGCTGACAGCGGATCCTGATCACCCACTGAGTCTTGGGAAAAAGTCACTGGTGGAAGACTCCTCCTAAAGTTTGTGTCTTAAACCCTCAGGAGAAATTCTCTCCCTAGAAGAGCACAATGGTTGAGAAGGGATTATCACTTTTTTTTTTTTTTTTTAAGCCTAAGAATTATCCTCTTTGGTGAACAGTAAACAGCTCTGATGGGCAGAGGGCCCTCTGGTGGTTAACCCTTTCTGGGCCAAGTCCACTGAGGCTTCTGTATAAATAGTGCTTCTGTCAAAAGATGTGACACCCCGCAGCACAGGGACTGCAGCAAAGACAAAAGGGTCCTTTGAGACCAGGGAAAGGGAGGAGGACATGCTCTTTTAGCCCTGGCACCAGGTTACTGCTGGCTCCAGCTTGCCACCTTTCTTTTTCCTCTAAAACCAGCCAGGTGATCGCATTGAATGATGGTGTCCCCAAATGCAGAAGTGACTTGCAACCTTGCTGAAGATAAGGGAAGAAAAGGCCACAGAGACTGACCTGGGGTTTCTCTACCTCAGTGCCACGATGTCAAGGCTGGATCATTCTTTGTTGTCGGGGGCTAGCGTGTGCACAGTACGGCAGATACATGCAAGGTCTCTAGGCATTGCCAGATGTCCCCTAAAGGGCCAAAATTGCCTCAGTTGAGAAGCACTGGCTTAAACAGATTCTGAATCCCTGTCCAGGGCAACCTGGCTCTGGCTGGCAAATATATTCATGGAACCAAAGAGGAAAGAAACAAACAAAACAAAACTGTCACAAAATTAAATAATTCCTCAATGCTAAAGCCAGTTAGCTCCCTACCTAGAGATTCAGCATTTTCTCAAGACTGTGACTACTGATGACGAGAAAGTTTTATACATTCAACAGCATTAGCTGAGCACCTACTATGTGTCAAGCACTGTTCTGGGCACTGGGGACACAGCAATGGAGTAAAAGACCATGCTCCTGCTCTCAGGTTGCCTACCCAGGTCTGAGAAGGATACAAGCCAGGCAACTGCTCTCACTCAAACACTGACGAATTCCCTGCTGTAGGAGGGAACTCAAACTGGATTCAGGAACACAGAGCACTACTTCCACCAAAGCAAGACCTATTTGACACTTAGGGACTTGGTGCTTTACACACACCGCCTTCCCTACTCCTCACAGCTAGCCTAGGCGATGAGCAGCCCCACTTCACAGATGGGGACACTGAGGTTCAAGAGGAACAGAAGGAAAACTTAGGATTCCACATTAACTACAACCACCTCAAAGCTCACGGCACTGTGGGAAATACAGCCCCCAACGAGCCCTGACCGCCCACTAGAGGTGAATGGAGTGACTACTCTGGGTGCCCAATCTCTTCAGTCCAATTCAGTCCTAAGGTTTCCGGTTGGTGCGTTAGAGCTGGACTCTGCCCTAGGGGCTGGCATCTTCCTGCAAGGCCACTTAGTGAACCACCAGGGCAGGGCAGAGAAGAAAGCAGAGGCTCAGGTTCCACGCTTTACCTGGGACCGGAAAGGCAAAGGGAAGGGGCAGATGGTATTGGCTTCCATTTCCCATTTTCAACCCAGGGCGGGGAGCCAAGGGGTGGGGAGGAAATAGGGTCTGAAACTGGGCTCCCTTCCCAACACTCCCAGGAACTTCTTCAACATGGCATAAGGGGGAGGGGTCTTGGTCTTTCAGAGCCCAAACTGAGGGAGGGATTCATGCCAAGCACCCTGTGGTCTGATGTCACCCCACAAAGCAGCTGCCCCCACCAGACCTCTGTCCTAAATAGAGAAAAAACTTTAGGTGGCTTCTCCTAGAAAGGGGAAGTTTCACAACTTCATCTCCCAAATCCCCTCCCTGCCCAGCCCCTTCAGGCTTCCTACCCTTGGAGGGGAGGTGGGAACTCTGAGGGAAGAAGGGTGCATAGGTCCCACGAGAGAGAGGCTGGGAGAGTTTAAGGAAAGGAGAGTGTTTATGAAATGGGAGGATGCATTTTACGGCTTTCTGGGGCGGAGGGAGTTGGGAACCATTCTGAAAGGGAAGAAGGGAACAATGAGTCAGGCTAAGGATGAAGGACTTTGGGGGAGAAGGGGCAGGATGCCTTCGGGAGAGGGACGATTGGGGACAGCAGGAGGGAGTGGAGGATTTGGGGGCATCTGAGGAATAGGGAGGTGTGAGGTGTGTGGGAAGAGATGGAGGAGGTGACATGTTCAGGGGAAAGGGGATCTTGGGGGCCTGGGGAAGTAGGACTTGGGGTGCCTAGGCGAGAGATGATTTGGGGATGCTCTGGAGAAGGATTCAGGTGTGTCTGCGAGCGCCCTGGGGCAGGGCTGAGGACCAGCTCCCCCCTTCATCCCGGCTCACCGAAGAAGGGCGGCAGGTGGGACACCGCCTCGAGGAAGGGTCCGGTCTCGATCTGCTTGTCCGCGGGCAGCGGCTTCAGCAGGTGCTCGGCCAGCAGCGCCATTTCGGGGTCAAGGCCGGCGGTAATGCCCCAGCCCGCGCCGCGGGCGTCCACGCCGCCCCCCGGGCCGCCGCCGTCACCGCCGGGGCCGTCACCTCCGCCTTCTGCGGACTCTGGGGAAGCCAGCGTCGCCACTTCCGCCCGTGCGGCGCCCGCGTAGCTGAGCGCTCAGCGCCGCCCTCCGGCGGAGCGCCTAAGCTGCTCCCCGCGCCGCCCCGCCCCCTCCCGCCGGGTCCAATCCGCGCCCGCCGCCGCGCCAGCCCAACCAATCCGCGCAAGCCGCCGTGGGCCGCCGCGCCGCCATTGGCCGGGGGGCGGGGCGGAGAGGAAGCGCGCGGTCTGGTGAGGCCGGTCCGCCCCGGTGAGGCGCTCCCAGGTGAGCGGCCCCGGGTGTGCCTCCCGCCGCCCCCGGCCTGGCCCCCCAACCCGGGCGGGCCAGTTCCCTCCGGCTCCTCGCCTGATGGGGGCGTTGAGCTTCCCAGCTCACAGCCCCACCCATCAGCCCCGGTTACAGCCCAAGCGAGCCCGCGCTCCTCAGGACCTCTGTCTCCTCCAAAACGGGGCGGGACCTGTCCTCCAAAGCCCCAAGTGACCTATTGGACACTCCTCGGGTCACGGTTCACTTTAGCTACAACCAACAGGGACGCTTCGTTGCCTGCTTCTTCGCCTGCAGTGACCATAATTATACCTGTTGAACACTGCTTAAGTCACAAGCTAACTCAGCCACTGCCCGGCTGGACTCCTGCTCCCCCAAATCCGGGATCCAGTCTGATCTCAGCAGTCTGATGTAACACCCTGGAGCCAGCACAGTTTATATTAATAATCTACTGCGACCAGCACCTGCCTGGACGCTTGTTTCCCAAACCTAACCTCACCCCAACAACCCAGGGTATATGATTCTCACAACCTGAATCACAATTCATCTCAGCCACAACCGACCTCGATGCTCATGTCCTAAAACCCAGTGCCCAGCGTATCCAAAAATCAAACACACCATTGTGGAGAGCCTCTTATTCATTCCAGATAAATACGTGTTGTACCCCTACTATGTGCCATGCACTGTGCCAGGCAGTGAGGATAAAGTGATGAACAGTACAGCAAGATCCCTGCCCTGGCAGAGCTGCTACTCCAGTTGGGGACACAATACAATGCAATACACAAAGTGGGAAGACAATTTCAGACACTGGTGAGTATAAGTGAAGAAAACAAAAACAGTACAGTGACAGAGGATGACTGAGGAGATAGGATGTAGGGCATTAGGGGCACTACCTCTGAAGAGGTGACATTTGAGCTTAGACCTGAAGAAGAAGTAGGATTTACCCAGGCCAAAGACTTGGGGTGGGAGGTGCAAAAGCAAAAGCCTTAGGTGGCAAAAAGCCTGGTGTGTGCAAGAGACCAGGGTGACCAGGGGAGGGGATGGGAGTGGAGTAAGTGAGGGCAAGAGGTGAGTGGGACAATAGGAGGTGAGCAGGGACCGTTGGGTCAGGTAAGGTGTGGCAGAGAGTTTGGATTTTTTTTTTTTTTTTTTTGAGACAGAGTCTCACTCTGTTGCCCTGGCTAGAGTCCTGTGGTGTCAGCCTAGCTCACAGCAACCTCAAACTCCTGGGCTTAAGCGATCCTACTGCCTCAGCCTCCTGAATAGCTGGGACTACAGGCATGCGCCACCACGCCCGGCTAATTTTTTCTATATATTTTTAGTTGTCTAGCTAATTTCTTTCTATTTTTAATAGAGATAGGGTCTCGCTCTTGCTCAGGCTGTTCTCGAACTCCTGAGCTCAGATGATCCTCCTGCCTCGGCCTCCCAGAGTGCTAGGATTACAGGCATGAGCCACTGCGCCTGGCCAAGAGTTTGGATTTTTTAGGAAAGGCAATAAGAAATCACTAGCACAAGAAAATTATCTGCCGAAACTTACTGAATGTTTTCAGTTTAATCTTTCAGGTGGCAGGTGAGATAAGAAGTTGTTCCAAACAAAGGGCATGGCCCAAGTAGAATCAGGAAGTGAGAGGTGCTGGGAGAGACAAAGCTAACATCACTTCTTGCTCATAACCCAGACCCTGACATGCCCCATCAAGTCAGATCTCCTACAGATATGATCCTAAACCATCAACTCCAGTTTGTTCCCGCCCCACCCAACCTCACCACCTCGGGCAACCTCTGATACCATCTCCTTGCAGCCTCTCCGGCCCACCCAGCACCCCAACCTAGTGCCAGAATCCCACCCACTTTTTAGACGCCTCCATCAATTCCACAGAGAGATCGCAGCCTCCATGGGGACCTCTGGCATCAGACAACGCCCTGATTTCTCAACTTGCTCCATTCCAGCGTCACTATGCAGAAACTATGGCTGATACAAGAAGCATCTTGCCATAGAACACAGGCTTGATATGCTGAGATAGGTCCTTGCTGGGTTAATGAAGTGTCTTAAAAGTTCATCTGTCCATCCATCTACCCATTCATCCATCCAACAGATGTGTTCAGTGCCCGCTCTTGCCTTCCCATAGCTTACAACAGGGACCAGGCTGGTAGCATAAATGGAGGCTGTGGGCTAGGTATGACACAATGAGGAGCGGGGACTTTGGAGAACTGGGGGTCCCATAGCCCGTCTAAAGTGCACTATATTAGGCTATCACCTGGCCAGTCATTGCCTAGGGTCATTAGCTTTTCACATTCCCCAGGAGAAACCAGAAACCTAGATTTGTAGGTAAAAATTGCTTAATTTTTAAATGTTGACAACTAATTCAAGTTTTAAGAAGACACACCAAATATTTCTTTCTTTTTTTTTCTTTTGACACAATCTCAAACTTACAGAAAAGTTATAAGTATAATACAAACAACTTTTTTTCCTGAACCATTTGAGCCTAACTTGGTGACACAATGCCCCATCACCCTGAACACTTTAATGTGTACTTCTTCCAAACAAGGATGTTCCCCTATGGAATCATAATACATCCATCAAGGCAGGAAATTAACCCTGATACATATACCATCTAATTCTCAGACCTTATTCAAAGCTTGCCATTTGTCCCAATAATGTCCTTTGTAGAGGAGGGTCCAGTTCAGGACCCTAATTGTCCAGTTTCTTGAGTCTTCTTCAGTGTGGAACAGTTCCTTAGTCTTTCCTGTACACCAATGACCTTGACACTTTTGAAGAAGACGAGACAGTTACTTTGTGGAATGTCCCTCAGTTTGGGTTTGTTGGGTGTCTCCTCACAATTAGATTCAGGTTGTGCATCTTAGATTAGATGTAGTTGTGGATTTCGTGCATCACAAAAGATTGCAGGAGCGATGCTGTGTCCTTCTCATTGTATCATAACAAATGACACACACTTTTGATTTGCCCCATTATTAAAGATCTTAACTTTGATCACTTGAATAAGAGAGTGTCTTCCAGGTGTCTCCATTGTAAAGCTGCTCTCTTCCCCTTTGAAATTCATAAATATTTCATAGGGAAGTACTTTGAGATAAATATACCATCACTCAGGAAATTTCCCATTTATTTACCTCGTGTGGATTCACGATTCCATGGGTTCCAATCCATTACTATTATGATTTATTTGGTGCTCAAATTGTCCCAGATTTGGCCTGTGATAGCCTCTGCAGCTGGCTTCTGTATTTTGTCAACATGTCCCCATTATTCTGTAAGTAACTTCCTTACAGAAGTACTTGCTTACTTAAGTACTTACTTACTTACTACCTCACCCCCACTGAGTCAATTGCAACCACTAGAATGAACTCCATTGTCAAGTTCGTCCTGCAAATCAGTTGGAGAGGGGGTTTGCAACTCATGGAGAGGTGTGGTGGCCCAACCACTGTTGCATAGGGGGGATTGGTCAAATAAGGAAACATATGAAAAACAATGAGAACACCAGGTTCCTCGCTGCAAGGGAAGCCTTTCAAATGTGGAAAGGGAGAAAAGTAGAATTAGCCCTGTGGAGTTAGATTGGAATCGGATCTATCTGGATGAAAAACCATGGTTTCTAATATAGGCAGGCAACATAGAAACATATACCTAGATGTAAGAGTGTGTGTATGTGTAGAAAACTCTGTCCCCTGAGAGGGTCTAAGAAACTCCAGATTTGGAATTTGGCCCAAGAAATTCCAGATTTATCTTTTTTTTTTTTTTTTTTTTTTCCTGAGACAGGGTCTTTACTCTGTCACCCTGGCTAGAGTGCAGTGGCATCATCATAACTCACTGCAACCACCTCAAACTCCTGGCCTCAAGTGCTCCTCTTATCTCAGCCTCCTGAGTAGCTGGGACTACAGGCACATGCCACCTCCCTGGGCTAATTTTTATACTTTTTGTAGAGACCGGGGTCTTGCTCTTGCTCGGGTTGGTTTTTAACTCCTGGCCTCAAACAATCCTCCCACCTTGGCCTCCCAAAGTGCTAGGATTACAGGGGTGAGCCACAGAACCCGGCCTCCGGACTTATCTTATACTTTCCCTCTCCTAGTCTTAAAATCAGCCAGTTCCCCGAAGAGCCTTTCAGTGGAGAATGGTATTTAGAAACCAAGACCTAGATGTGCTCGTTATTGGGCTGTCACTGCTCTTAGACCCTCTCAGGGGACAGAGTTTTATACACGTACACACACTCTTACATCTAGGGATATGTTTCTATGTGGTCTGCCTATATTAGAAACCATGGTTTTTCATCCAGATAGATCCGATTCCAATCTAACTCCACAGGGCTAATTCTACTTTTCTCCCTTTCCACATTTGAAAGTCTTCTCCTGCAGCGAGGAACCTGGTGTTCTCATTGTTTTTCATATGTTTCCTTATTTGACCAATCCCCCCTATGCATCAGTGGTTGGGCCACCACACCTCTCCATGAGTTGCAAACCCCCTCTCCAACTGATTTGCAGGACGAACTTGACCATGGAGTTCATTCTAGTGGTTGCAATTGAGTCAGTGGGGGTGAGGTATGCACCCTACAAAGTTTCATCATTTTCCTGAGTCAGTTCCACCCAGTGTTAATAACATCTTCCCCAACTGAATCATCCAGTCCTGGTTACACGGACAGTCTTCTCCCAGGAGCGTCTGTTGGGATGAATAATGTTGGCCAAGTTCACGGTCTTTTTGACATTTCATCCTGTAAACTCAGCCTCTCAATTGTAGCAAAGCGATAATAACAACCACAGCTAACAGTTATTGAATACTTACTATGTGTAAAGCCCAACAAACACCTCCACTTTCTAGCTGGGTGGCCTTGGGCATGTCACTTCCTGTATGAGTTTCCCGCAGCTGCTGTAACAAATGACCACACATTTGGCTCGTTAGAACAACCGAAATGTAAGTTCTCATACTTCTGGAGGCCAGAAGTCCTAAATCAGTATCGCTGGGGCAAGATCAAGGTGTCAGCCAGATCACACTTTCTCAGAAGGTTCTGGAAAAGAGAGAACCTGTCTGTTGTCTCTTCCAGCTTCTGGTGGATCCAGATGTTCCTTGGCTCATGGCCACATCCCTTCAGTACCTGTCTCCATCTTCATAAGAGCTTCGTGTGTGTGTGTGTGTGTGTGTGTGTGTGTGTGTGTGTGTGTGTGTGCGTGCGTGTGAAATCTTCCCTCATGTGTCACCTGTGAAATCAGGACAGCAGCGACAGTGATTCCCTCCCAGGGCTGGTGTGAGGTTTCAATGGGATAATGCAAGTCGGGCAGTTGGCAGGCAGGCAGCCCTCGATGAATGGAGCGGCTGTTATGAATCTATTTATTAAGTTGTTTCTACCCAGGACTGGCAAGTGTGGGAGTAACTGATTCCAGTGACGTCATCTCTCCAGTTGGCATGTTTTCCGCAGGATTGAATGTGCCAAATGGGCTTTGTTGAGCCAACTCCTCTGGCAGCTAAGAGCCTCCATGCCAACCTGCCTGCTGTGTCGCTTGCCCCCAATGAACATGAAGGCACACCCCCCCAGCAGGCCCTTGCTGCCATCCCAGGAAACAGCCAAGCAGGTTGCAGCCAAATATTTGCACATTTTTGCAGTGACTGGATGAAAACAGTACTTTGGTCATTTAAGCAGCACAGAGTGGACAAGAGGAGGAAATACCACCCCATCCTTGTGTCCACAGGGGCAGCAGGCTTGGGAGTCTCACGTGGAAAAAATGTCCCAAGGAAACCTGACCATGTCACCATCCCAAGACAGTGTCACGGCACAGTGCCATTGTCATTAAACTGGAGAAAGATACAAATGAAGAAAGCCGGCCTTTTTCATTCCATTCGGTTCCACTGTCACCACTGGAGCCTCTCTCTTAGACCAGGTTTTGCCGGGCAATGTGGGGTCACAGGTGGCACTTGCTCAAGGAGCTCGCAGCAAGGAATCACGTACTGCCTCCCAGCACCCAAAAACGAGGACACGAGGGAGCAGATCTGAGCACAGACTCTGGAGTCTGACAGACAGCCTTGGGATCAAACTCTGGCTCTCCTGCTCCTAGCTGTGTGACCTTGGGCAAATGATAGAACCTCTCTGAGCCTTAGCACCTCATTGGTAAAATGGGGACCCTTAGAACACCTCCTTCAAAGCATCCAGGAGGATATTCAAGGAGACAGAACGTTTGGGATTCTACCTGGGACAAGGATTGGCACGAAACCTAAGTCACAGGAAGATGCTGAAGATGAGGACGCTGACGATGACAGAAATGTCCCCCCTAGCGCCCAGTAATTCTGGGTGAAAGCAGGGAATTCCGTAGAGTAGGAGGCACCCAGGCTGACCTGGCAGGGGACACGAGATCTCCTCCTAACTCTGTCATCGACTGGTTTCAAGACCCTAGTTCTTGGTTTGGGCCTCAGTTTCCCCATCTGTTAAGTAAATGGGTCTGGCAGGATGAATTCTGAAGATGTGTGTAACCTTCTGACTCCAGTGGTGGTCTTGGGGGTCATGGTCCCTTCCCCTGCCACCCTCGACAGTTGGCCTTTCTCCACCACCCCGGCTAGTAGTAACCTGAGCACTTCTCGATCGGACGAGGGTGGAGTAGAAGGGAGCCCAAGGCGACAGGGCCTAGTGGGGACGCTTTCCTCGGGGCAGAAAGGCTCTTGGAAGCCAGTATATGATCCTGGGAACATCCCAGCTGCTTGCTCAACAGGGACTGCTCTTCACGCTAAGGAACCGGTTGGTCCTGGTTCATTGTCCTGGCTCTGTGACAAGCCTGTCCCGGAGAGGCACGGTCCCCAAGCCACTCCCCTGCACCCCCACTATGAGGGCACTTAGGGTAGTACCCCACTGACCATAGTTGCATTCATTCATTCACTAAATATTTATTAAGCACCTACTGTGTACCAAAGGGTACAGAAGAGGCTGAGACACATAGCAGGAGATGAGACAGCAAAGTCCCTGTTCTCATGAAGTTCACGGACTACTGGGGGGAGGTGTTAATATTTAAAAATTATTTAGTTAATGCTGCAATGAATGCTATGGAAGAAAAATACAGCGTGTTCTGGGACCAGGTGACTTGATCTAGTCAGAGGGGATCGGGGAGGGCTTCTCAGAGGAAGGGGCGTTTACACCGGGACCTGAAGTCTGAGTAGAGTTGGCAGAGGGGAAGGGAACAGCACGGCAGAACTGGTGGTGGCGAGAGTTAAAGGAGAGGCCAGTGTGGCTGGGGAGGTTGGCGTGGGCCAGGCTGGGCCAGGGCCAGTGGGTCGTTCATGGTGTGGGCTTCGTGCTGAGGGAAATGGGTAGCCATGGAAGGTTCAAGGGTGAGCAGAGGATGGGTTGGTCAGATGGGTCAGCCCAGAAGAAGGGAGCCAGCGTGGACATTGGGATGGGGACCCTGATTCCCTATGAAGGCCATGAGAGTCCTCTGCTCAAACATGCTGAGCCTCAGTTTCCCCATCTGAAAAGTGGGGTTACAGTTATTCATACCCCCTAGAGACACTTGCAAGGATGAAGGGAGGTCACACGGTCACACGGGCACAGGACAATCAGTGTTTGACACCTGCTGAGCAGGTGTTGGCCGAGTCTCCTGTTCTCTGTGACATCACTTTCCAGCTCCACGCTCTGAGGCCACCAGCTGCTTTCACTAGTCACACTGGCTCTGCCACTTCCCTCCTCCGGGCGCGCCCTCCCCCTCTCCAGGCCTCGGTTCTCCCTCTATAAAGTGAAGGATTTATAGAGAGGTGAGTGCCACCAAGCTGGGCCACATGAGTCTCCAACTGTGGTGAGCAGTAGGGCCAGCAGGGGAACTTGTCACTGACAGTCACTCTCTCCCAGGGAGAAAGAACTCACACCTGTAATCCTAGCACTCCGGGAGGCCGAGGTGGGCGGATTGCTCCAGGTCAGGAGTTCGAGACCAGCCTGAGCAAGAGCGAGACCCCCTCTCTACTATAAATAGAAAGAAATTAATTGGCCAACTAATACATATAGAAAAATTAGCCGGGCATGGTGGCGCATGCCTGTAGTCCCAGCTACTCGGGAGGCTGGGGCAGAAGGATTGCTTGAGCCCAGGAGTTTGAGGTTGCTGTGAGCTAGGCTGACGCCACGGCACTCACTCTAGCCTGGGCAACAAAGTGAGACTCTGTCTCAAAAAAAAAAAAAAAAAAAAAAAAAAGAACTCAGTAGTTCTGGGGAGGAAGCTTTGTCATCACTCCCTGCTGTGTTTTTCCTCCACTCTGGTCGGGAGAGCGGCTGTGAACTCTAGCCCTGTCCCGCCCAGGCTCCGGGGCAGGTGGGTGTGGGTGTTTGCAGTGTGCCTTTCACGGGACCCTTGGTTATCTTGGTGGGTGGCCAATGCCTCAGTGTCCAACTCACGACTAGGTGTCCCTCTCGCAGGAAACTTGTCCGTACCGACTGATGCCACTGTGGCTCTCTTCTGGCCTGTGTCCAGTTTATTCCCACCGAGACAGCCGCTCTCGGGAGAGCTCGGACTGGGAGGGGCTGGGTTCGGGGTGTCGGTCGGGAGAGACCATGCCAGCGCATGCCTTGGAGGGCCAGCGGGAAGGGGCAGCCGTCTGGGACCTGTGCGCTCAACTAGTGGCTGGGGAACAAGAGAGAGAGAGAGTGAGGGACCCGTGGGCCAAAGCCTTTCCTGAGGTTCAAGGTGTGACCTCGGCAGGTTTCCCATGGGGAGTTTTAACTGGTGATTTTTGTTTTGTTTTGTTTTAAGACAGAGCCTTGCTCCGTCACCCAGGCTGGAGTGCAGTGGTGCCATCATAGCTCACTGCAGCCTTCAACTCCTGGGCTCAAGCGATCCTCCTGCCTCAGCCTCCTGAGTAGCTAGGACTACAGGCGTGTGCCACCATGCCTGGTTATTTAAAATAAATTTTGGTAGAGGTAGGGTCTTGCTATGTTGCCCAGGCTGGTCTTGAACTCCTGGTCTCCAGTGATCCTCCCTCCTCAGCCTCCCAAAGTGTTGGGATTATAGGCGTGAGCCACCGCACCCAGCTTAAATGGTGGATTTCAAGTAAGCAGGTATGAGTTCCAGGAGGTCACGTTATGACTGAGAGGGGTCACTGTGGCTTATCCGTGCGGGGGAGTCGGCGGGGCAAGCCAAGGAGGTTTATCTTGCCGCCCCATGGGGAGGTGGCTACCAGGAGGTGGCTGTATAAGGCAGATATCTGGGTTGACCACCTTGAGGAAGGTGGAGAAATGGAAACCATGTCAAGGGTGACTGAGCCCTGCTTCTGGTATGAGAAAGTGGATTCAAAGTGGATCCTTGGCAACATAAAATAACAGGAATTCACTATGGTTCCCCAGGTGGTGTCATGGGGTGATTCAGGAATTACACTTTGGGATGGAGGCACAACATTGTGAATGTACTTAATGGTTGTACACTTAAAAATGGTTAACAGGTGGCCAGGCGCGGTGGCTCACGCATGTAATCCTAGCACTCTGGGACTGGAAGGCCGAGGTGGGAGGATTGCTCGAGGTCAGGAGTTCGAAACCAGCCTGAGCAAGACAGAGACCCCATTTCTACTAAAAATAGAAAGAAATTAGCTAGACAACTAAAAATATATAGAAAAAATTAGCTGGGCATGGGGGAGCATGCCTGTAGTCCCAGCTACTCAGGAGGCTGAGGCAGGAGGATTGCTTGAGCCCAGGAGTTTGAGGTTGCAGTGAGCTAGGCTGATGCCACAGCATGCTAGCTCGGGCAACAGAGTGAGACTCTGTCTCCAAAAAAAAAAAAAAAATTGGTTAAAAGGTGAATTTTATACTACGTGTATTTTACCTCCACCCCAAATAGTCATAAAAAAAAAGAATTACACATTGAACAATGCTGTTCTACAAAAGTCTATGAATGGGAATGCTTCCTGATGACCGAAAAAGGACTTAAGTGCTACGATCCTTTATTTTACCTTCTAGAAAGGAATCCCAAGCTATTAGGTGGAGGCCTCTAAGGTTAATTCTGTGTTTGATATCATCTTTAAGGACCAGTTTCTTCCTTCATTAGCTCTTTAAAAGGCCATGTCATGTGGCTTTCTCCTGGTGAAAGACAGCTGCCACAGGACACACCCAGTGCAACTATCCCCCCAGCGATGTCCCTCAGGTGTCACTGGGTAGAACTGGGCCCCGAGCCCACTCCCAGCCCCGTCACTCACACGGAGCAGGGGTCCACCACAGTTGGCTTAGACAACTCGGGATTTACCCTTGAACCAAGCACACAGAGAGAGGTAGACACCCCATCACCCCAGTCGGGGTGCAGCTTCAGCAGGGATGTTGGGGGAATGGCTATTCATCAACCAGTGGTAAGCAAATGAGTAGCAATTTCCCAGCTCCTTCCTCTAGTAGAAAGGGAATTAAGGCCAGGTGCGGTGGCTCACTCCTGTAGTCCTAGCACTCTGGGACGCCGAGGCAGGTGGATCGCTCAAGGTCAGGAGTTCGAGACCAGCCTGAGCAAGAGCGAGACCCCCCTCTCTACTAAAAATAGAAAGAAATTAGCTAGATAACTAAAAATATATAGACAAAATTAGATGGGTATGGTGGTGCCTGCCTGTAGTCCCAGCTACTCCGGAGGCTAAGGCAGGAGGATCGCTTGAGCCTAGGAGTTTGAGGTTGCTGTGAGCTAGGCTGAAGCCATAGCACTCTACACTCTAGCCAGGGCAACAGAGCAAGACTCTGTCTCAAAAAAAGAAAAGAAAGGGAACTAAAGCCAGCACTTACTGAGGTATGCGCCATGCAGAAATCGTCAAGATGGCGGCAATTATACCAACAACTGCCAAAGACCAAGTGCTGATAACTTGTCCGGTTGTGTTAAGGGAACTGTTGATGACAAACCAGTACTATTCTCCCTATTTTATCAATGAGAAAGCTGAAGCTCAGAGATTGGAAATAATTCAGAGCTAGTCAGAGGCCCTATTCTTCCTAGCATGCTGGTCTGGAACGATAATATGAATGCCAAAAATATGTTAGTGCCATTATAGCAGCAGCAGATGGAGAACAGGTTGAGCCACCTGAGAGCTCCAAATGGAAGATTCTGGAACAGAATTCCATTTCTAGTCTCCTGTGCACATAGGAGCAGGCCTGTTAGAACAAGTTCTGATGAGCTCCCCTGATTTACAGGTAAGGCGTCCAACAGGAGGTGCCGGCCACGTACCCAGAGAAGGCCACCAAGGGCAGGCTTCCCCGCACAGGTCTCTTTCAGGGCGGTGATCTCCACATTGGGAGGGGTAAGTTGAGCGCTGTCAGCCAGGACACTGTCACTTGTTCCCAGAGATCCCTCATGGCCCCTTGTCGCTCTGCATTCCAAGGGGCGTGTCTGCCAGGCACGCGGGGATGGGCGCGACAGGCTCTCCCTGCCTGCCTCTGCAGGTGCTTGTAGAGACAAGTATGGGGCAGCGTCCAGCTGAAGAAACAGATACAATTAAGGGACAATAACTACAAGGGAACCACAGTGAAGGTGGAAAAACGACCTCCAAAGATGTCTCTTCCCTAATACCCAGGATTTGCGAGTATGTTACCTAACACGGCAAAAGGGGCTTTGCACATGTGATCAAGGTTAAAGGCCTCGAGATGGGGAGGCTGTCCTGAATCGTCCAGGTGGGCACACGGGGCCTTGCAAGGGAAGCAGCTGTCCTGGCTGCGGGCCGAGGGAGACGCGCTTACTGAAGAGCAGGAGGGCGGCCCTACGCTGCTGGCGCTGAAGTAGGAGGCAGGGCTGTGGTCTTGAGCCAAGGAGGGTGGCAGCTTCCCTAAGCTGGGAAAGGCAAAGAAGAAACCTACTGTGCCCGAGAGCCTCCAGAGAGGGACACAGCCCTGCTGACACCTTGACCTTAACCCCAGGAGATCCATGTCAGACTTCTGTCCTGTAGAAGAACATAATGTATGTAAGGTATTAATAACATACGAAACTGGGTGCGGAGTACATGGAAATGCTCCATCCTATCTTTGCAATTTTTCTTTCTTTTCTTCTTCTTCTTCTTCTTTTTTTTTTTTTTTTTGGAGATAGGGTCTCACTCTGTCACCCAGGCTGGCTATCATGACAGCTCACTGTAACCTCAAACTCCTGGGCTCCAGTGATCCTCCTGTCTCAGCCTCCTGAGTGACTGGGACTACAGGCACACACCACCATGCTTGGCTAGTTTTTCTATTTTTTGTAGACACAGGGGTCTCACTCTTGCTCAGGCTGGTCTCGAACTTCTGGGGTCAAGCGATCCTCCTACCTCAGCCTCCCAGAGTGCTAGGATTATAGTTGTGAGCCACTGGGCCCTGCCAGTCTTTGCAATTTTTGATTTTGATTTTTCTGTAAATCAAAAACTACACTGAAATAAAAAAAAATTATTAAAAAATACACACGCCCAGGTTCCTTCCCTCACCAATGAAAACTTCTGCTGCAGGGATTGATGGATATCAGGATTTTCAAAAGCTTCCCAGGTGATTCCAATGTGCAGCCAGGGTTGAGAGCCACTCATGCATTGACAGCACTTCATAAAGTATGAAACATGATGGCAATGCAGGTGGTTATGATTAATCGACCAACCTTTTATTGAAAGAAAATTACGTAAGTAACAGTGACCATCATAAAACTAAAAACTCAGAAATAAAAATGAAAATCACTCCTAATCCTGCCCACTTGCAATACCCATTGTTTTGGGTGAGAGTCCTTCTATATAGACTTTGTTTTCATCAACATCCACATTTCTTTTTTTTTTTTTTTTGAGACAGAGTCTCGCTTTGTTGCCCAGGCTAGAGTGAGTGCTGTGGCGTCAGCCTAGCTCACAGCAACCTCAAACTCCTGGGCTCAAGCGATCCTCCTGCCTCAGCCTCCCGAGTAGCTGGGACTACAGGCATGCGCCACCATGCCTGGCTAATTTTTTTCTCTATATATTAGTTGGCCAATTAATTTCTTTCTATTTTTAGTAGAGAGGGGGTCTCGCTCTTGCTCAGGCTGGTTTCAAACTCCTGACCTTGAGCAATCCGCCTGCCTCGGCCTCCCAGAGTGCTAGGATGACAGGCGTGAGCCATCGCGCCCAGCACACATTTCTTAATATTCCTGTTGTTATTATGACAACACAAAGCTGGGGCTCTGAGAGGCAGCCTACTAGCCCTGGCGTCTCTGAGCATCACGCCTGTCTACTTCTGTAATGTCAGGGAGGGTGGGGAGCCCAGTCCAGATATGAAGACAGAAGCCTGAGTGGTTGATGTTGAAATGTCATGAAAACTCAGAGAAGGCAGACATGCCTTGCTAATGCCACCTGCTAATTAAGTGAGGGCGTCACCTGGCTTCCAGCACTGCCACGTCTCAGTGAATAGAGAGCTGCTCCCATGTCGTCACCCCCTCTCCCCATTCCTGTTTTCTCCTCTTGCGCTAAGACACCCAAAGACACAAGTCCAAGAGCAGCCCCCAGCCTGATGGTTCCCCGCCTGGGCATCTGCTCTCAGACCCCTGTGGGCCACTGTCATTGGCCTGTCACTGAAAATTTCACTGTCAGAGTCTCAGTGCCTTCATCTGCAAAGTGGAGGCAGGAATCCCACCCTCCCAGGTTGGAGGGAGGCTTAGAGTAGGCGACATATCTCAAAGTGTCTGGCATGTAGCAGGTATTCAGTAAATGTGAGCTCCTTTTCTTTCTGTTTTCTCTAAACACCGTATTTCCCTTTTTCTTTTGGAAAAGGAGGAGAAGGGACTTAAAGTTGGGGACTTACTTTCTTTTTCATTCTCAAGAAATATTTATTGGGCGCCCACCATGTATCAGGCACTGGGACTGCAGCAAGGGACATGGTGATCCCTGCCCTCGTGGTGCACTGAGAAGGCCCAGGCCCTGGAATCAAATGGAACTGGATTCAAACCCTGGCTCCACTACCTATCAGCTGTGGTTCCTCGGGCAAGTGATGCTACCTCTCTGAGGCTCAGTTTAGGCAACTCTAAAATGGGGACAATTGGCTGGGCATGGTGGCTCACATCTGTAATCCTAGCACTCTGGGAAGCCGAGGTGGGAGGATCGCTCAAGGTCAGGAGTTCAAAACCAGCCTGAGCAAGAGCGAGACCCCCTCTCTACTAAAAATAAAAAGAAATTAATTGGTTAACTAAAAATATATAGAAAAAATTAGCCGGGCATGGTGGAGCATGCCTGTAGTCCCAGCTACTCAGGAGGCTGAGGCAGGAGGATTGCTCAAGCCTAGAAATTTGAGGTTGCTGTGAGCTAGGCTGATGCCATGGCACTCTAGCCTGGGCAACAGAGTGAGACTCTGTCTCAAAAAACCCCAAACAAATAAATAAAATGGGGACAATAAAATATCTCATCCAATGCCTTGGGGGAATGAAGGAAAAGGCACTTGTAAAGATGCTTAATGAGCTACAAGCAGCAGCTGTGTAATCATTGGGTTAAAAGTTGATCTGTGGGGGCCCCTGAGGACACCTGTTCAGGAGAAGCAGCCCAGAGGCCATGGCCTGGAAACTTCAGGCTTCGAGGATGAGGCCACTTGGGAATGGTTGCCCTCTGGTAGGCTGATCAAGCCCTGAACCTAGAGTCCCACTAGTGGGGTATATTTGGTCCTTTCGGCCCTTATACAGATGAGGACACTGAGGCCCAGAGAGTGGAGTGGCCTTGTCCAACAGACATTCTCATCACGCTTAGGGAGTCCTGGCAACAAGTACTGGGCTCCCCTGTTGGGTGGGCGGCTCTTGCTGGGTTGGTCACAGTGGGTTGCTGCCCCTCCTGCCCACTGGGGACACAACATGGAAGAGTGGCCATGGGTTTGGCTAAATGGGTAGGGACGTTCGGGAGGCCAACTTTGGGGAATCTTCTGTACGGGCTGGGGCAGGCCCTGGGTAAACGTGCCGGTTTAAAAGGAAATGGGAAATGGGAAAGAAAGGTCAAGTTTATGCTCACCTGGAATGCACCAGACACTCCTGGGGGTGCTTCGTTTAAACCATTTCTTCCTTCACGGGCAACCCTAGAAAGTATCACTATACAACCTTAGAAAGGAAGGAGTGACTCTCCTTTCACAGATGGGGAAACTGAGGCACAGAATGATGAAGTGTCCTGCCCAAGACCACACACTAGCAGGAGTCAGTTGGAAGCTGTCATTGTGACGATAGAGGCCATGGTGGGAACAGGATATCCCATACTGTGTCCAGGAAAAACAGAGAAATGCGTGAAACATGGGGGAAGGAAGGGAAGAAAAAATGAAGAAAAGAATGGGAAAATGAAAGAAAAGAGAATGAATGAGGGAATACTTTTCTTTTTAAAGGACTAGTTGATACATAAAATAATACGTGTAGCCCACGTGAGTTATAAAACATGCCAATAGAACGAACACCCTTGAACCCCACACCAACATAAGACTACAATAAAAAGTTACCCAAAACGTGTGCCATCGACTTGCTCTCGCCCAGGCTGCACATTGAAAGCAGCTGGGGAGCGGTGAAACACTGACGCCCTCGGGGAGCCTGCGGGCATTTGTCTGGGGTTTGGTCTGGGCACCTGGATGTTAAGAGCTCCCCAGGTGATTCTCATCCTAGCTTATCCCCCTGGTATCTGCCCTGCCCTTCACCCGCGGAGGTAACCACCATCCTCGCCTATTTCAGAGACGAGCGGCGTGGGCTATCGATCCCCCGCCCACCACGAGGGGGCGCCAGAGAAAAACCACGGTCTCCTTTTCCTTCTCTGCGCGTCCGGTATTGCGCTGAAGGCGGTTGGCCCTCGCGACGCTCCGTCGTCGGGCCCGTTGCCTGAGCAACGAAAGGGGGAAACGGCCGGCGTTGCCGCAGCGCGGTTTGCGAGGGACGCGGAGGGACGCGGAGGGACTAGTGGCCGGCAGAGTCCGGGCATGCGACAGCTCGGGCCGGGAGGCTCTTCGGAAACTCCAGGACGCCGAGAAACGTGAGTCGGGCTGGCCAGAAGCCGGCTGTCGAGTGGGAACTCGCAGGGCCCTGCCACAGGCGGCCCGCGCTGGCCGGAACGCTGGCGGGAGTCCGGGGACTCGAGCTCAGGCGCCTGGGGGCCCGGGAGTTGGGTCCCACGCTTTCCTCTGTAACCCCTTTCGTCGGCTGCGGATGTCCAGGCTGAGAGAGGGATGCGACTTGTTCAGGGAGCAGCTCCGCTTTTTGGTGGCCCATCCGGGACCAGAATCTTAAGTTTTTGACTCCCGGTGCAAAGATTTATCCTCTGGCGGCTTTACAGAACGAGCAAAAGAGTAGGTTAAGCCCGCCACAGCCTCAAGACAGAGGTGACACATTGGCAGCGCGCCGGTATTTGGCCTCACGACCTGAAGAACTCTGAGGTTTTTGGCGTGGACCCAGGCCTGTTCGCTCCTGCAACAGACGTTCCTAGCCAGGCACTGTGTAGACCCTGCACATTAGGGCAGCTTTTGGGTCGGGGGAATGGCATCTGGAGTGATTCTGCTGTCCGCTTTCAGGGCTCCAGCTGTGTCCCTTTAATTGCCCTGTGACTACAGGCAAACGGATTCCTCTGAGTCCCAGTTTCTTCATCTATAAGATGAAGAGTTTCCCCTTCTTGCTAGCCCCTAGTACTTCCAAGTGTGACACCCCAGCTACCATCAGGCCCCTCCTGGGGGCTGCCAGGACCTGTTCCTCCCAACAGGCAGCCTTTTGCAGGGAATGGAGCCTGGGTCCTGGTCTCTGACGTGAATTAAGATCTCAGCTCTCTTGTTTTCTCTTCCGGGCTTTGATTCTGACAGGTCACTTCGCCTTTGTGAACTTAAGTTTCCCCACCTGCTAAATAATGAGGTGATTGTACCAATGAAACGATTCACATATGTTGAGTGTTTGGCACTTAATTATTAAGTTATTAGTAATTACTAACTTACTGTCCCTGTTACTTTAAGCAGAGCATAAAAGTCCCCGGTGTTCCTAGACTAGCATTGCTAGGACAGTCCCTGTCTCTGTCCATTGTGTCCTTGATGATGGCTAGCCCACATCAGCTGCAGTCCAGGTTTACTGGAATTGATGATTTGCAGCCCTGAGGACAGTTCATTTTAAAAATGTTGATGCCTGGGCCCCACTCTAAGATGTTTTGATTTAATTGGTCTGGAGTGGGGCCCACAGGTGAGTATTTCTTTTTTTTTTTTACAGTGATTCCACGGTGCAGCCAGAGGGTGAGGACCACTCATTGAAAGGATGAGGCCAAGCTTGTGAGGGTTCGTGCAGTTTGTAGTTGGCTCATTTTCCTACCATTGCTGTTCTCAGATGGCTCTCCCCACACTGCCCTCCTACTGGTGCAGCCGAAGGCTCCTGAGTCAGCAGATGGCACGACAGCGAGAGCAGGAGGCCCGGATTCGGCAGCAGTGGGATCAGAACAGCCGTTACTTCATGATGTCTGACATCTGCAGCTCCAAACAGGCAGAATGGAGCTCCAAAACCTCCTACCAGCGGAGGTGATTGTGCAGTGACCACCGATTGGGTAGGGTGGAGGGCCACTTGCTGGTGGGGCTGAGCCTTAAGGATCTAGGGAGTGTGGCTTGACTGCATGTTTTCTTGAGCATGGATTACTTGCATGGTGATGTTTTCCCAACTGGAAATTTTTAAAAAGATCGTCAGTGAAGTCACATATTCACACTGAAAAAGATAAAATGATACAGAAGTGTTGTGTGGTGGAATCTGGAAGCCTCCTTATAATGCCACATCCCCAGAGAGAACCACAGTTAGTCTGGTGCATATCCTTTCATGCTTTTCCCCACTTGTGTTTGTGTTTAAATATACATACACACAGAAAACCATTTTTGTAGAAATACATGTGTGAAAACATGGGAGTTAAAAGCATAGGGTGTGGAGTCAGATAGACCTAGACAGAAATCCTGACTATGTCTCTTGCTGCATGAATGAGCCTCAGTTTCCTCATCAGTAAAGTGGGACTAAAACAGAACTTACTTTGTAGGATTTACGTGACAAATAATATAAAGCCACCCACTCATTTTCTTTTTGAGACAGAGTCTCGCTCTGTTGCCTGGGCTAGAGTGCTGTGGCTGCAGCCTAGCTCACAGCAACCTCAAATTCCTGGGCTCAAACGATCCTCCTGCTTCAGCCTCCCAAGTAGCTGGGACTACAGGCATGTTCCACCTGCCCAGCTAATTTTTTCTGTTTTTAGTTGCCCAGCTACTTTCTTTCTATTTTTAGTAGAGACAGAGTCTCGCTCTTGCTGAGGCTGGTCTCGTACTCCTGACCTCAAGCAATCCTTCTGCCTCAGCCTCCCAGAGTGCTAGGATTACAGGTGTGAGCTACCATGCCCAGCCCAAGATTTTCTATTTATGCTATTCTATAACCTTGCTTCCCTTTAGCTGGGGGACACCTTCCTATGTCACCATGATATGTCTATCTTAGTCTCTTTTTTTGAGTCTCACTCTGTTGCCCCAGCTAGAGTGCTTTGGTGTCAGCCTAGCTCACAACAGCCTCAAACTCCTGGGCTCAAGTGATCCTCCTGCCTCAGCCTCCCGAGTAGCTGGGACTACAGGCATGCGCCACCATGCCCGGCTAATTTTTTTTTCTATATATTTTCAGTTGGCCAATTAATTTCTTTCTATTTTTAGTAGAGACAGGGTCTCACTCTTGCTCAGGCTGGTCTTGATCTCCTGAACTCAAATGATCCACCAGTCTTGGCCTCCCAGAGGGCTAGGATTACAGGCATGAGCCACTGTGCCCGGCCAATGTTAGCCTCTTTTACCCACACAGCAGAGCATTCTCCCTGTGGCTGTAGTGCAACTGATTTATCGCGGGCTCCCTCTCGCCCAGCATGCACGCCTATCAGCGTGAGAAGATGAAGGAGGAGAAGAGGAAGAGTCTGGAGGCCCGACGAGAGAAACTCAGGCAGCTCATGCTGGAGGAGCAGGACCTGCTGGCCAGAGAGCTGGAGGAGCTGAGGCTGAGCATGAACTCTCGGGAAAGAAGAATCCGGGAGCAGCACCGGAGTCTGAAATCAGCCCAAGAAGAGCAAAGGAAACTGGTAAACGTCCCACAGACCTTCAGGAAGCTCTGGGCCAGGAGCATCCCTGCCTGTCGGTGTTGTACACAAGGGGTCATTCCTGGGTGCTCTAGTCCTGATGAGCCAGCGGGAAAAATGCTCACTCTTGTGCAGGGAATGTGCTCAGCCCCTTAAATCATTACATCCAAGTCCTTTTTCTTTATTCTAGCTCTGTGGTCCCACAAAGGTCTGGGGCTGGTATATTTATCTTCCAAAGTCGTTGTGTGGAACAGTGAGCACCAATCTGCATTTTTTAGCCTGCTACATTTTGAGACTCTCTAGATAGAGGCCATCTGTAGCATCAGATTTTGCCCCCTTTTGTCACCATTGTAAGAGTCATTTATCGGTGCCTTCCAGTTCTGCTCAGCTCTCTGGCTCCCAGAGCTGTGGGTGGGCAAGGCAGGTTGAACAGCAGTGCAGTGACAGTGTGTGAGTGGGGTCCTCTGAGCCTGAGCTGACTGCCACTGCATGTCATCTGAAACGTGCATGGTTATGAAAAGCGACATCAAACTTCCCTTTTTGTGTTTTCTTGGTAGATTGCTGAACAGCTTCTGTATGAACACTGGAAGAACAACAACCCGAAACTTCGAGAGGTAAAAATCAAAAACCTTCCATTGATTCGCCTAAGTAGATGAAATCATGTTTCCAGACATATATATATATATATAATTTTTTTTTTAATTGCATCTTTTACTGGGTTGAGACAGAGGAGGGCAACTCCACCTGAAAAGAGCACCACACAGATTGGGTGTGGACTGCACTGAGTGCTTCGTTCTGTTTAACAAATGCTTAATGGACCTCTGCTGCATGGTCCCTGCTTTTTTTTTTTTTTTTTTTGGAGACAGAGTCTTGTTCTGTTGCCCAGGCTAGAGTGCCGTGGTGTCAGCCCAGCTCACAGCAACCTCAAACTCCTGGGTTCAAGCGATCCTCCTGCCTCAGCCCCCTGAGTAGCTGGGACTACAGGCATGTGCCTCCATGCCTGGCTAATTTTTTATATATATATTTTTAGTTGTCCAGCGAATTTCTTTCTATTTTTAGTAGAGACAAGGTCTCGCTCTTGCTGAGGCTGGTCTTGAACTCCTGACCTCAAGCAATCCTCCCACCTCGGCCTCCCAGAGTGCTAGGATTACAGGTGTGAGCCACCACGCCTGGCCTGTTCCCTGCTCTTAGAGAGCTCGCTGTCCAGCAGGTGGGAGAGCAGGCAGCTCGTTACAGTGCAGGATGCGGTGGGATACAGTGCTGGCTGCCTGGGAAGATGGGCAGGGGGCCATGTACTCACTCAGTCCGGGTTCAGGGGCGTGTCCCAGAGGAGTTGCTGAGATGGAGGAGTTTGGAAGGACATGGAGTGTTAACTTGATGGTATGGGGGTAAGGAAAGGATGTTCTAGATAGATGCGACTGTGCAAGAACCAGGACTGAGACACGAGAGCAGAGCAAGTCCAGGAAGCCACAAATGGTCTGGGTGAGGCTAGGATATCAGATAGGGAGTGGGGGGAGCCCCAAGAGATGAGGCCAGCAAGGTAGGGTAGATGGTGCTAGACATGGGACGGCCTTGTGTGGCCTTCCCCAGAAGGCGCTGGAGGGCACGTAGACAACTTTAAGCAGGGGAGCATAGAAGCCCAGCTGCACTGCAAAGAGCTCCCTCTGGCAGCAGTGTCAAGGTGTATGTGGGGGGGGGGTGATGCCAGTTGAGGGGCTGCAGCAGCCCAGCCAAGTGACGGCAGAGGCCTGAACTGGGGTGGCAGGAGACAGGACGAAGCTGCAGGACAGAGGGGTGGCAGGAGACAGGAGGACGAAGCTGCAGGACAGAGGGGTGGCAGCATTCAGCAGAGATTAGGTTGGAGGGAGATGGTCCCGTCACTGATACCCTTGATTTATTTTAATTTAGTTTTTGTATACATTTGGTGCTGTTACTTCATGTTTTTGTAGTTTCATTCAGAAATTGCCAGACACTAAGTCATGAAGCATCTAGGTGCTTTTGAGTATTGTGCACATAGTACCAACCTGTGCGAGGACTCCCTGGCCAATTTACTCAGAAAGATTATGTTCAGAACATTCAAGATTGGCCAGGTGTGGTGGCACATGCCTGTAATCCTAGCACTCTGGGAGGCTGAGGTGGGAGGATTGCTTGAGCCCAGGAGTTTGAGGTTGCTGCAAGCTAGGGTGATGCCACAGCACTTGCCTAGACAACAGAGTGAGACTCTGTCTCAAAAAAGAGAAACATTTAAGATAGTTGCAGATGTTCACACTTGTAAGTGGGAAAGAAATGTTAAGCAATTTCCCAAATAAAAGCATTTAGACCAAGTGTCAGAATTCATTTGTAATACAGAAGATTCTCTACGCTCGCTTCTCTCACTGATGGCTCCAGACTTGTTGCCACTACTAGTGTATCCCTCGGTACAGAGACTGCCTGTTTCTGTAGTTACTGCTTTGCACAGGAAACTGGGTAGCCAGGCAGGGGTGGAGTCTGCCTGTCACCCAGCTGTCTTTCTGGACCGGGGCCTGGCATGCTGTAGACCAACCAGAGGTGGCCTTTGAAACTTTCTTTCCATTCTAGTGTCTGCTGACATGCTTTCTATTCAACCCCAGGGCCACTAGGAGAAGAGAGATTAGTTTAGAAGTGCCTGGTCCTTTGGTTTTCTCACTGACTTGCACTCAGAATGTGTATGCTGGGATCACCCCCGGCTCCCTTACTGGACACCTGAGCTACTCTGAGTCCTTGAGAAGGGAAGTCCTGGCCACGTTCCAGCGCATGGCACAGAAGGCAACACTGTCCCCCACAGTGAATATCTGTCCAATGAACCAGTAAGGACATTAATATTTTCCCCATTCTCACCCTCAGATGGAGCTGGCCCTTCACAAGAAGCATGTGGTAAACTGTTGGGAAACGCAGAAAGAAGAAAAAAAACAGGTGTGGTGTTTCACTCTGGAAATACTCCCACATGCTGTAGTGGGAGACTGTCTCCATGTCTTTGAATTTGTTTCCTATTTTCAATTTTAATGACTCTAGTTGAGAAATAGACTTCCTCAGTTTATCTGGCACATGTTAAAACTGAATGTTTGCTCTTACACATACTAGAATCCTATGTGATTGTACCCAGCACAGAGTAAAGTCAGGTGACTGGGGCTGGTAGGTAGCAGGTGCAACAAGTGTCTTTAAAGGCATCTCTGTTGCTCTTTTGATGAAATTCGCATCATAGACTGTCTGGCTTGGCTTACGGTGGCATCTCTGGGGATAAGCGTCCACACTGCCATGCACCATCACATTGCCTCCGGGTTCATTTTGGAAAGTATCTTATTGGAGGAAACCTGACATTCAGACCCTCCCTTGGTCTCTGGGGGAAGTGTCACCCTCCCCCAGGGTTGCACTGCACGTGGCACTTGCTGCCTGGGCCCGGTGGCCTACTGGAGGGAGTTGGCTTTTGCTGGCCATGTGGTACGGACACTGACCTCCCAGGTTCGTTTGGCCCCTTGTAGCAAGAAGCCACGGAAGAGCAGGAGAACCAACGGTATGAAAATGAATACGAGAGGGCCCGAAGGGAAGCGCTGGAACGGATGAAAGCGGAAGAGGAGAGGCGGCGACTGGAGGATAAACTGCAGGCCGAGGCGCTGCGGCAGCAGATGGAGGAGCTGAAGCTGAAGGAGGTGGAGGTGAGTGCAGCTCCCTCCTCTTAGGATAAAACAGGCCCTTAAGCCATCGCCGTAGTAGCAGGGAATGGTGATTCTCCAAAGGGCAGCAACAGCTGGGTTCTCCTGTTCTCACGTGCATTCCCCTCCTACGTCGTGTGCCCAGATTGCAGAACATCGATGAGACAGTACTTGTTCTCTTAGATGCGTTTAGAGACCTCCTGTTGAAGAGCCTTTTCAGACCTTGGATTTTCCAGTATGTTGCGTAGACGTGACTTAGTCAGATGGTCTAGCACCCAGCTCTCAATGGCTAGCAGGTTTTGGGTCTCGAGGCATAAACTGGGAGGGCTTTTGGTCCAGGAGGCCGTCTTTTAGGAATACTGTGCACGGCTTGTCTGAGAGGGCTGGCTCTTCACGTTCACTTGAGAGAAGCCCCATGCTCCTTTGACCCCTCATCCCTTCCCACAGCCCAAATGATTTAGTAAGTAGACATTTACTGCCACTACCTATTCCAGGCACCAAGCACTGGCGGGAAGGTAGAGATTGAGTCTGAGCAAAACCCACAGTCCTGGCCTCAAGGCAGGGCCGTGTCAGGTGGGCAGACGGTAGGTTACCATCAGCATGGACCAGTACCCGGTGCTATGGAAGCTCAGAGCACAGAGCTGGGAAAGGCTCTTATAGGAAATGGCACGGTGAGATGGGATGAATGGGCTGTGGGACTGAGTCCCAGAGCAGGAGGGCATCGTGATCACCAGGGCATCCAGGCCACCTGTACTATGAAGTGTCTGCCAAAAATGGAGGTGAGGATGGAGGAGGATCCGATTCCCACAGTCTCAGATCGCAGTCAGGTTTCCCATCACTGTAACCACAGGCAACCAAACTGAAGAAGGAGCAGGAGAATCTGCTGACGCAGCAGTGGGAGCTGGAGAGGCTGGAGGAAGAGAGGAAGCAGAGGGCAGCCTGCCGGCAGAAGGCGGAGCTAGGGTACGTGTAAGCAGGGCCTCCGCTGTCTGGGCGGGGTTCTCCTGTTTTCAGACTTGAGATTGGCGTCTCTGAACCCAGCAAGCCTATAGTAAGCAGTCGTCTAACCGCTGTTTCATTCTTTCTAAGATACTGAAGGCAAACGGTATTTTATTCACCTTTAGGCGTTTCTTGAGACATCAGTATAATGCACAGCTCAACAGACGGACGCAGCAGATCCAAGAGGAACTGGTAAGTCTGAAGAGACAGCCTGGTGGTCTTCTTACTCTTTTGAAAAAAATGTTTTTACTGCTTAGTGTATGAGTACATTCTCGTGAGAATCAAAAGACAAAGCAAGGGGTCAGGAGAACGGGAGATGTTGGTCAAAGGGTACACACTTTCAGTTATGGGATGAGTGAGTTCTGGGGGTCTAACATACAGCATATTGACTGTAGTTCATAATGCTGTATTGGCTGGCTATGGTGGCTCACGCCTGTAATTCTAGCACTTTGGGAGGCTGAGGTGGGAGGACTGCTTGAGGCCAGGAGTTTGAGACCAGCCTGGGCAACATAGTGAGGACCCCACATCTATAAAAAATTAAATTACCCGGGCATGGTGGCACATACCTGTAGCCCCACCTACTCAAGAGGCTGAGGCAGGGTGACAGAGCATGACCCTGTCTCATAAAAAAAAAAAAGTAATAATGCTATATTCTTGAAATTTGCTGAGAAAGTAGATCTTCACTGTTCTTACCACAAAAAAAGGTAACTATGAAGGGATGGACATGTTAATTAGCTTGACTGTAGTAATCATTTCACAATGTAGACATATACCAAAACATCAAATTATATTTCAATAAAGCTGTTATTTGAAAAACAAAACAGGCCGGGCGAGGTGGCTCATGCCTGTAATCCTAGCACTCTGGAAGGCCGAGGTGGGAGGATTGCTTGAAGTCAGGTGTTCAAGAGTGACACCCTGTTTCTACTAAAAAAAAAAAAAAAATAGAAAAAATTAGCTGGGCAACTAAAAATAGAAACAAAAAGTTAGCCAGGCATGGTGGCGTGTGCTTGTAGTTGCAGCTACTTGGGAGGCTGAGGCAGAGGAGGGTCACTTGAACCCAGGAGTTAGAGGTTGCTGTGAGCTAGGCTGATGCCACGGCACTCTAGCCTGGGCAACAGAGTGAGACTCTGTCTCAAAAAAAAAAATCATTGTACTTGGATTGAACTTGGTCCTTTTAGTAGCTAGTCTGTATTTCTGTAAGCACTGTGATGAGCTCCCTCACTGAGACGGGAACAGAGAGCACGAGCAAACCCAAGTCCCCCTGCTGCTCCCCACTTGCCACAGTCAGGGCAGATGACAGGGAGTGGTGGCACTGTTGTTCCTGGTGTGCAGCTTTTCCCCTTAGGACGTCTTTCCCTCATTCTTTCACGGTTCCACGGCGGAGATGTGTTAATACATAGTAGCTAATTCCCTGCCAGTGGGCCTTTGGGCTGTTTCTGGTTCTTCCCTCTTACAGAAAGGCTGCAGTGAGCATTTTGTGCATGTATCTTTGTGCATTTGTGTCACTGTAGTCTGTATTCTTAGAAGTGGAATTGCTGCCAAGGTGTGTTCCAAAAAGTCATGCTACCAGACGTGTCCAAGAGCATGGGGTATCTCCCTTTAGCCAAAGCAAAGCGTGGGCTTGTACAGTATCTCAACCATCGCTATGTGATGATCCCTGGTCTGTTGCAGAAACAATCTAACATCTTCCCGTCTCCATGTTGAGAACGTTGTGAAGGATCACAAATGTCTGAGCACAAAGGAAAGGGGCAGGCAGGAGGGTGGGCTTCTTTGTAGGCCCAGCTGCAGAAGGGCTCTGTCCTGCCCACTCATGTGCGGTCCCCCTGCCGGCTCCAGGAGGCAGACAGGCGGCTCCTGCAGGCCCTCCTCGAGAAGGAGCATGAGAACCAGTGTGCGCACCTGGCCCGGAGGGAGCAGGCCGTGGCCGACGTGGCCTGGATGAAGCAGGTCATCGAGGAGCAGCTGCAGCTGGAGAAGGCGCGGGAGGCAGAGCTGCAGATGCTGCTGAGGTGAGAGGCGGCGGCCGTCTGGGCCGGACACTCCTGGCCTCGAGTGTGGTACCTTGAAATGCCCTCAGGTCACCATGAGGGTCACCTGTCACTGAAATATCTGTGCCTGCTGATTTGTCTGTCGTGCCTAAGGAACACATCTTCATTAATGGACGTGGCTTGCCGTGGTGTTGCCCTTAACGTTATTTAAGATGGAAATCATTAAGGTTTAGAGAATCATCTGTTCATCTAAAAGCTCAGAGATTTGAAAGGAAATTTTTATTATTATTAATTATGGAGATGTTGAATGCCTCTTAGGTCTATACAAATGGGCCTAGGTCCTAAAAATTAAACTGGTAGACTGAAACAATCAATTGAGCACACACATTGAGCACTCACAGCTGCCGGACACCGTGCTAAGTGCTTTACGGTCCTTACTGAATCCCGACATCCAGCCAAGTGGCAGGACGAGGAACATGGAGACCTGAGGGCACTCCCTTGGCCCAAGCAAGCTAGTGGCGGCCCGAGGCGAGTGGTGACGGGCTCAGGCACAGGTGGTGGTGCCTCCTCTCCATGTCCCGGTGGTCTCATTCCCCTCAGTGTTAAGTGGCTGCAGTGCAGATTGTCACAGGTGCCTTTTGTCAGGAGGTAGGATACTAAGAAGGCAACTTCAAATATTTATACAGTATTTTCTGTGAATGCTGTCCTTAATTGTCATCTTTTAAAAGCATGTAGCAAAGTTTATTTGCAGGTTGGCCCCACAGAAGACGTGCACCTTAGCTCACTTAAGGGACTTAGTGTCCCTTAGCTCACTCCCAGCCATCGGGTATGGGAAGGAGCTTGCTGTCATCCCTTTTGTGTTTGCCCAGGGAGGAGGCCAAGGAGATGTGGGAAAAGAGAGAGGCAGAGTGGGCCCGAGAGCGGAGCGCGAGGGACAGACTGATGGACGAGGTAATCCCAGCTGCGCCGTAGGGGGACGGCCGTCGGGTCCTGGGCAGGCGGATGGGAGTTGTTCTGAGGACAGAGTCTTACTCTGGTCATTTTAAATGGGCTTTAAAATCATTAGAAAAGTGATTACAAGCTTCTTAGAAGAAAATTCAGAAGTACAGCAAGGTAAAAATGAAAAAAAGTCCCCAGAGCCCCGTCATCTACATAGCCACAATTACTTTATTCCCTTCTATTCTTCTGGGTTTTCGTATGTATTTTTTATCGTATTGTGCTGCTTGACTTCAGGCATTCTAGCCTGCTGTTGCCCGTAGACAGGCCCGTGCCATCCCATGCTGTGCCTTAGTTTGCCTTCCCTTCTTGTGGTATTCTGGGTTTTTCCCAGTTCTGAGCCACTGACGCGCTGCAGGGAGCGTCTCGGTGCACGAGGCTTTTCCAGAGCACAGTTTCTTCCTTGGGGTGAGTGACTGACAGGACTGGGAGAGTGTCACTGTTCTCCTTTTCTGTGAATAATGCATGGAAGACCCTCCCTGTCACAAGGACATCTGTTGGGGGAAGACGGTCTTCATTATCCACGGATTGAAAGTTATTTTAAAGTGGTTTAAAATGAGAAATGTGTGGTCTACCAGTATGCTATGTTTTGGAATCCTTGGGAAATCAGGTTTCAGTTGGTGATTTTTCACTGTTGTGAATACCAGGCATTCTCGAGCAGCTTTTGATTTTCTCCATTTAAATTTCCCTCCTGGTTGTGACCACTTTATGTGCCCTGTCCCCAGCATGACTGCTGGGTATGTGAGGTGGTGTCCTGACTCCTCACTGTGGTCTGGGCTGGTGCTGAGACATCATACTGCTCTGCGTCTAAGTCTTAAACACAGCAGGTTTCTGCTGCTTTGAGCAGTAGATTTAAATCCAAAAGGTTAGGGGAGTGACCCAGACTCTCCCTCTCCTTATCTGTCTGCCTTGTGGTTTTCTTCTGTTTTTTAGAGCCTGGCGGGGACAATGTATCTTGTCGCTGCAAAGTTTCTCTGCCCCTGGGTAGAGGGCTCCACCCCGAACTCCTTTAATCTCTTTGGTGCTCAGCTGTCTCTCAGTAGCACACAATCTGTATACAGTTTGTGTGCGTTGCAGGGAGGTAGGAAACGCCTCTTGTATACTGGCAAACATGGCCGACATCAACAAGACCAAATCCTGTAGTTGGGGCCTGCCTCTGTCTGGCACGCTTAGGCTGGAGGACCGCACTAGGTCTTGGTGCATCTGTAGCCTGCCTGAGGCTTATAGAATGGGTATCTGTTAGAGTCAAACTAAAATTCTCCTCCTCCTTTCTGCTGAGGATAGGTTCTGATAGGGAGACAACAACAAATACAAGAAAAGATTGAACAAAACCGACGGGCACAAGAGGAATCCCTAAAACACAGGGAGCAGCTCATCCGAAGTCTCGAGGAGGCAAGAGAGTCAGCTCGCCGAGAGAAAGAGGAGAGTGAAGAACTGAAATCTGCCAGGAAACAGGAGTTGGAAGCTCAGGTGGGGCTGTGCCCAGGGGCGGGAGGCAGCCTCAGCAGGGGACCCGGGCCTGGAGGCAGCAGGCCCTGTGGTGGCTCTTGCATCATCATAGGATGGGATGCAGAGGCCCTGACGGCCTCCCAGAGCTCGCTGGTGTTTGGGAGCCAGTGCCTCCTTCTATTTCCAGCTGAAGTCCTGACCCTCCTGTGGCCCAGCTCTATTCCGGGTCACCTGTCTCTTGCGGGCACCAGGCAGGCATTACTGCTGCATCTGTTGGCAGTTGGCTTACTGGGCCACAATTCTCAATTTGTTCCATTCAGCACCTAATACATAACACAAAATCATCTTCCAAACACACGGCCACATCCAGAGCTTTTGACAAGGTGCGTGGTACGGTACATACAGCCTTTCCCATTGGCATTGCCATCGCTGTTGCTTGGCCCTAGTCTCCAGCCAGGGTAGGACCGCAGGCCTCCTCTCCTGATCAGAGGCAGGGCTCTGCCCCGTGCGCCTTGTCTCATGGTAACTTTGCTCTTGGTGCCCAGGTTGCAGAGCGCCAGCTGCAGGCGTGGGAAGCAGACCAACAGGAGGAGGAGGAAGAGGAGGAAGCCAGACAGGAAGAGCAGCTCACCAACACCCTGCTGCAGCAGGAGGCAAAGACAATGGCTGAGCAGGGCTACCGGCCTAAGGTAGGGGGCCTGCCAAGGGACAGGCCATCTCAGCTGAGCCAAATTCAGCCTGGCCCCATTCCTCTGGGCCTGTCCGTCGCTCTGTGCTCAGCTCTGCTCTCCAGCTTTCCGGTCGCTCTTGCTCCTCTTCTCTTGCATCTTTCCCAGCTCGTAGAGAACCTTGACACAGTCTCTTTCAGTCCTTGGTTGGGCCTCATACAGCCTTGGAGGTGATCTTGCTCTGGCTCCTGCCTGCTAATTAGTGGCGTGTCCACCCTGTTTGGGGACAGAGCAAGTTAAGGGGAGTTGTGGCCACAGCTGTTGAGAGGTGACAGAGCAGTGGGTCCAGGCCCCAGCTGTTCATAGTCCAGCCAGGCAGACAGGAGACCTGTTTCCCTCCTTTCTTCCTCTCCCCGGTGTCTGACCCCTGTTTTCTTCTGTGTGTGTGTCTTTCTTTCCCTGTCTCTCAAGAGTACTTGAGTGACCCCCTGTGCAGGGGAGCACAGAGAAGCAAAGGCCGCCACCTCTTCGCCGCAGCAGCTGTGGCTGCAGCACCAAGGCGCTGACTGAGGGCACACAGGCTTGTCACCTCTGCCCTCCTTTACCCAGGGCCACTTGTGCTCTAAAGTGCATTCCCCAGGACACGTGCTACAGAAAGAGCATGTGTCCTCTGTGGTCAGATGACTGAGAAACTGAGTGAAACCGAGTTAGAGCAGGTACTACATCTGCTGTGGGATGCAGCACCCTGACACACTGTGCTTCTCGGTGCAGGGAACAGCATTTTCTAAACTCGGCGGCTGGGCGTGGTGGCTCACGCCTGTACTCCTAGCACTCTGGGAGGCCAAGGCAGGTGGATTGCTCAAGGTCAGGAGTTTGAAACCAGCCTGAGCAAGAGCGAGACTCCGTCTCTATTATAAATAGAAAGAAATTAATTGGCCAACTAATAGATATGGAAAAATCAGCCGGGCGTGGTGGCACATGCCTGTAGTCCCAGCTACTCGGGAGGCTGAGGCAGGAGGATCGCTTGAGCCCAGGAGTTTGAGGTTGCTGTGAGCTAGGCTGATGCCATGGCCCTCACTCTAGCCTGGGCAACAAAGCGAGACTCTGCCTCAAAAAAAATAAACAAACAAACTCGGCCATGGATCAGTGAGTGTCTCAGGATCAGGCTTTTACAGAGTATGTGAAAATGTTTCTTCCGGCTGATACTTTAAAAAAAAAATTATAAAGTGCCTCACTTATGGCTTAGGGTCAAAGCGTTTTCAACTATAAATGAAAACAGCCATTTATATTGTGCTTTTTAGCTCTTACTTGAAATGAGGTTAATTCTCAGTGCTCCAGAGACTGTTGCCTGATGGGTGTTATGTTTTCTTTCTTTTCTCAGCCTTACGGACATCCCAAAATTGCTTGGAACTGACTGCATTGGTACCCTAAGCACAGGATGCTGAGGCATTTGATACACAGCTGCCGGACAGTTGGACAATGTTCTAGTGGTCGTCCGTGTTCAGGGCACTCTCAGATAGTTCAGCGATGCCTGTTCAGGTGCGTGATTAAAGGTATTGAGGATATGGCCAGACATGAAGGTGTGGTGGATACGCAATACCCTGCGAGGAGCCCTTTCTGCCTTTCTCATCCAGGAAGGAAGGAAGGAAGGAAGGAAGGGTGTTTTATAAGCACGTTTACAGTGCTGTCAAGTAGTCTTGTAATATATTTATAAATAATGTAAAATTCTAGATCAACATTAAGAGTCCCAAGTAGCATCCCATCATAGGGTACCTGGTTTCCTACTGTCTCACCCTTAATTATCAACCCTCCAAGTAAAGACTCAAGCTAGAGCTACAAGGGACATTTTTCAGGTTTTAAAATTGATATTTATTCTATTGAGACCAAACTTGTAGGTCTTAGTGTCACTTATTTCGGGGTTTATTAATTTCCTGGTCCCAGAAGGATCCTATCTTTTGTATTCTGGAAGAAATGAACTAAGAATAATTTAGAATCCTGAAATAGTCTGATGTGGTCTGTGGAGGATTTTCAGAAATGAGTCTTTCCTCCTCCGGGAAGCATTCTGGTAGGCTTTCCATAGAGCATTGTGTGTGGGTGAGTGATCCCAACATATATGTTACTGAGCCTCGAAAGGTCACCTGCTTGGCTAGCCTTTTAAAGGCAGGGTGTGTAACACTTGGGGCCTCTAGTGTCTTGGGAAGTTCTTGGCTGCGAGCAGCCTTCTGGGATTTATATGTCCAGAGAGTGAGGCACTTAACCTAAAGAACCTAGATCAGACTCAGAGCCACAGACTGGGTCAAAAAATTCTATCCCATAGTCATATCAGTGTGATAAAGTTCCAGATTAATCTCTACAAATAGCTAGAAGTTCCTTGCAGCAATAATCATTTTTTCTATTTGTACTATTCCTCTGAGGTTTCAGTTTCCATTACATTGTGTTTAGGACTCTGTATCTCAGTAAATTATAGCTAATTACAGGGGGTTCTTCCATGGTTATTAAAAACCAGAGTTTATTAAAAAATCCTGAGTCTAAGGGCTGCATTACCTTTCGCTTTTCATTGTGCTAAGGAAACACATTGAGCTGCAAACCGTGTCCTTAATCTGTTTTTCATTTTCTTGTCTTGAAATTCTTTGGCTAGGGTCCCTTGAGCACCACTTTGATTATGCGTGTTTGTATCGTTTCAGATGTTTATTAATTGTGAAATAAAGTTCCAGTTTGATAACCTTGCTTCCAGGCTTTGTTACTGTTGCTCCTATTTATTACTGTAAAGTGAGTTGTCAGTGATAGATTTTTACTGATTTAATCTACATCTCCTATAGGTATAGATATTTCCTGTGACTGGTCACTTTTATAGGTATATTCATTTTTCTTGGGCAAGTGCTGCTTTCTCTCCTCTTATCTGCATTGGAACCACTGGAAATTATGAACAGTTATACTCACTGTGCACCAGTACAGAATCCATGCAGACAGAATGCCTGGGAAGTAAGGACTTTAACATTTCTGAAATATTTTAATGTTTTGTTTTTGAGGCTTGGTGATAATCTCATTAGCATTAAAATTATGTCACACTGGGTCTCTATACCCTAATATATTGAATAAATATTTCTGCTGTAAACTGGGCCACAATATTTTTTAAATTTAGAGCTTCTACCATCTTGCTCGTTCTATCATAGCCCATATGCCTCTTATCGCACATGTACTTTGATTGTGTTGTGGTTATAGATACATATATCGGCTTTATTGTTTCTAAGTACATTTTTATACTCATTTAAAAGGAATGATTTCTAGATTATTTTTTGGCAGATTCTTCTAAAAGGTCAATTCCTTTAGTACAGATGGTTCTGAGCTGCTGTTGTGAAATGATTCTTATGCTGATATATAAACGATGACTTGTATTCTTTTTCAGCTCCTCATTGAGCACATGCTTTCTCTGGGGAAGGTACAGGGTTAGGTCTGGGGAGGTCACAGCTGAACAATAGTGACAGGGGTCAGACTCAGGAACCAGACACGCAGACATCACTGGCAGACACAAAGCCAGTGTAACCCAGGGGCTGAAGATACCATTTATGTAAAATAGTCAGTACGCCCATATTTCTTTATGAATATTTTTTCACCATCTGGGTTTTTAGGTGTTTTCAGTGTTCATAAAATACAGAACATCACTTAAAAGATACTGTAATGCCTTTAAAAACATTGGCACTAACAGTTCTTGATGACTTTGACTAAATTCAGCCATGAAGCCACATGGAGTGTGATTTTAAGGGCGTTTACTTGAAATTGTCATGTCTTCATTTTAGAGAGGCATTTACTTTATGACTTAATGTTGTTAATATGCTCACCCAGAGAGCAACATCTCCCTCAAGGACACATGTGCATGTGATTTTTTTTAACATGTAGCTTATTTTCACTGCTACACATACTTAATTGTATAAATATACTATCATTTACTCATTCTCTTTTGTTTGGTTTCCAGTTTCTCCTAATAAAATTGTGCTTCTAGAAACCAGCCTGTACATAACTTCTAGTGCGCACATTCCAGATGACGTCTGGTGAGATGGCTGGAAGTGGCCTTTTTCAGCGTCACAGTGATCAGGGATCACAATGGAAAGTCTGGTTTTATGTCCAGATCCTGGCTTGATGCTGCTTTAGCACTGTTTTCTCATTCTGCTTAGCCAGTCTAAAAGACCGCAGATCCCTACTGTTCCTCTTCCCCTAAACCAACCCTCCGTTTCCATATAGAAACATTTATGCTAGAAGAAGGGTGGTAGGGAGGTCCTCCGGTGTGGGATGGCCCAAGCCATGTGGCACTGAAGTTCATGCTGCTGACTCATGGTTCCTGAGACAACTGAGCATCTGGACCTAAGGACCCACCTGTGCCACCAACTCTGGCTTCCAGATCACATACACATTTGATCTATAAGGGTTGCTGATAAAAATGGGGTTCTTTGGGCACTTTGGCAGTAGCTGTGGCCTCTGCCATTCATAACCAAGGAGGGCTGCCCGCCTTTTAGGCCCAGACCTCCTCACCACACAGGCTCTCCTAGGTGATGTGAGCCAGCCTCTGGCTCCAGTTCCATCGCCAGGTCCGTGACTCCTGGATCTCCAGCCCAGACTTGTATATTCCTACCACCACGACATCTCCACTGGGTCTCAAAGGTGCCTCAAACTCAGCACAGCCCAGACTAATCTGCTCGTCCCCAAACTCCCATTTAAAAAACCCCAAATCAACTTGGCTTTTCTCCAGTGTTGTTCGATAACTGAATGGAGTCACCATCCATCCTGCCAGCTGCACATGCCATAGGCCCAGAGCACCAAGTCCTGTTGCTGACCTAAAATCTCCAAAGCCGTCTGCTTTGCTCCCTGGTGACCATCTTCCATGGCTACTTCTGACTTCTGCCAAAAGTCACCAATCCAGCCCATTTTTTCCTTCACCCTGTAGTCAAATCTTTTATGAACATGCGCCTGAAAGGAAAATCTTCCACCTTCTTCAATGGCCTCTCATTGCACTTAGGACCAAGATCCTAATCCTTCCCTGGCCGACAAGACCCTGTGCTGACTAGTCCCGCAGAAACCCTCCTGGAATTCTGCAGAGGCCACGGCAACTACCAGTGCACCTGGCCCAGAAAACAGAACTGTCAGACTGGTACAGAGATGGTGCTCACAGCATTAGTTATGGTGGCAAAAACTCATAACCTAGGTGTCTAACACCAGGAGACTCTGAGTTTGGGATACTATGTAGTGCATTAAAATGGAATGGAAAGCTTAAAAACAGTTCTGAAGACATGTTCCTGCTATGTTAAGTTCAAAAGCAGTATTTACATAATTCAACGTTTAAGGAAACAAAATGTTACCTTTGGTTATTTTCAACAGATGAGAGCATGGGTGTTTTTCATTTGGGGTACTTTTCTGTATTTTCCACAAAGAACACATAACATTTGAAAGGAAGAGAAATGTTACTTAAAAGATAAAATGAAAAAAGGGGCAAATACTAGAAATAATTTACAAAGTTATAAGATAAATCTGAACTAAGCAACCCAGCCTGTAATCCTTAAGGAGATGTTTTTCATCTCACAGCAGAAAATATTAAGAACCCACTCCCAAATATGGGTGTGGGAGGTTTCCTGTCAGGGTCCAGTTCTATGATGGCCTTTGGGGTCCCTCTCCAGATCTCTGTCCATGAACAACTTGGACAGGTATTATGCTGGGTGCAAAATATGCCAATCTCAAAAGGTGACATGCTGTATGGTCCATTTATGCAACATTCTTTTTTTTTTTTTTTCTAGACAGAGTCTCACTCTGTTGCCCAGGCTAGAGTGCTTTGGTGTCAGCCTAGCTCACAGTAACCTCAATCTCCTGGGCTTTATCAAGCGATCCTCCTGCCTCAGCCTCCTGAGTAGTTGAGACAACAGGCATGCACCACCATGCCCGGCTAATTTTTTTTTTGTATATTTTTAGTTGGCCAATTAATTTCTTTTTATTTTTAGTAGAGATGGGGTCTGTCTCTTGCTGAGGCTGGTCTTGAACTCCTGACCTTGAGCCATCCACCCACCTCAGCCTTCCGGAGTGCTACAATCATAGGCGTGAGCCACCACGCCAGCCCATTTATGCAAATTCTTAAAGGACAGAATTATAGAGAAGGAGAACAGATTTGTGGTTGCAGGGACAGGGTGTGTCTCTAAGGGGGTGGCACGAAGGAGCTCTCTGTGGTGACAGAGCAGGTCACAGGAACCCACACACGTGGTAAGATAGCATAGAACCACACACACAAGTGCATATATTAATGCAATCAGTGTTGTCTGAATAAGGCCTGAGATTGTACCAATGTCAATCCTGATGTTGAACTACAATCATGTAAGATGTCACCATTGGGAGAAACTGAGTGAGGGGCACAGGGACTTCTCTGTATGATTATTTCAAAATAAAAAATAATCTAGTGTAAGGGAGGTTTCTTAAGACACAGCGCCAACCATAAAGGAAAAGACTGGTACATTTGACTACACTAAAAAAGCTTATCTTAAAAGATACCTAAGACAGGGAAAAGACTTGCCACAGAATGAAAATGATATTTGCAACACAGATCAGCATAAGACCAAGAATGTTCAGAGCATTTAAAAACTCCTAAGGATAAATAATAAAAAAAGAATCTAATAGAAAATGGGTGTGCACGCCCACAGGCACTTCACAGAAGAGGAAATCTAAATGGCTAATAACCATGGAAAAGCAGGCAAATATTATCAGAGAAATGCAAATTAAAACTGCAATGATCCTGTCTCTACTAAAAATAGAAAGAAATTAATTGGCCAACTGAAAATATATATAAAAAAATTAGCCGGGCATGGTAGCACATGCCTGTAGTCCCAGCTACTCAGGAGGCTGAAGCAGGAGGATCGCTTGAGCCCAAGAGTTTGAGGTTGCTGTGAGCTAGGCTGACACCAAAGCACTCTAGCCCGGGCAACAGAGCAAGACTCTGTCTCAAAAAAAAAAAAAAAAAACTGCAATGAGATGCCACAAGAAACTCACTAGATTGGCAAAATTAAAACTGATTACACCAGTGCTGACGAAGACGTAGAACAATGGGAAATCTCATATTCTGCTGGTCCAACACTTTGGAAAACAGTGTGGACAGTGTCACAGGTTTGGAGAGGCACACATACTGTTACCCTTGGAGCTCCACTCCGAGGTGTATGTCCTACAGAAAGATACATGCACCAAAAGCCTTAATTCCCACATAAAAAGCCACAACTAAAAATAACTCAAATGTCCATCAATAAAATACTGGTTAAAGTGTGGTGTATTCATTCAATGACTGCTACACATTGAGCGTGAACTAGTAATAGCTACACATGCTGCCCCAGTTGAATCTCACTGCAGTGAAGGAAAGAATACGTCACTAGGGTTCCATTTCCACGTTCAAAACTGGCAAAGCTAAGCTGTTATCAGGGATGAGCACAAAGGGTTTGGTTCGACTAAACACGAGGACATGATGGTCACTAAAGTCTAGGGGAAGGAGGGGCCCACGGGGACTTCTAAGAGAAAGGCGCTGTTCTGTTGTGGCCACTTTATGATTGCACACAGATAGGTCAGACACGATTCTGTCTCTAAAGCTCACAATGAGAGAGGGCGAGAGAGAGAGCGCGAGAGCGAGCGAGCCAGGGAGAGGCGTGGGATGAAGAAGAGCCTGTGGGCCAAGCTGGCCCAGGTTCCGGTCTTGTGCCCACCACTTAGCAGCTGGGTGACCCTCTTGGGCCCAGCTCTCCACTGTGAAATGTAGAGAAGGGAGATGAAGATGTGCCAAGATATAGTACAGAAAGCACAGAACTCAGAAGGACCTGTCTTGCCACGAGGATGCTCCCCCACAAAGAAACAAGGAAACAGCCTACCTGTGGTGGACTCGACCCTGTCTGCACCATCCTTTCAGCTGGAAGCAGGTCAGATTCGCCCGGTGCTCCTCTCGTTCCCCGTCACTGAGCCAGCAGCTCCCCACCCTTTGTTGTGGGGCTCTCCCCCTACTCTGGGGAGGGGGCGGACGGCCCTGAAGGGAGCCCTGCTTCCAGGACAGCTGGCGTGGGGACAGTGGATCTGCTCGTGGGTCCGTGAGGTCCTCCCGTCATCCCACAGCGGAGCCGGGCCACGTCCTCCACACGAAGACCAGAGTCTTACCGAGCAGCGGTCACCGAATACCTCAGTCTGGAACAAACAGAAAAGACGAGAAATGCTTGTGGCAAAAATAAGGAACTGGAAGACAAAACACAAACCTGGCCACTCTAGCTCTATTCCTTTTAGCCTCCTCCCAAGGCATAGAGGACCTCACAGCAAATGACACCTCCCGCAGCCTCCCTGCTCTGACCCCGCCCCCCCTGCCCTGCCAAGGGGAAGGGGACCAGTCTCTGCTCCACACCTCTCCCCTGCTGTACCTCTGCCAAGGTTGTGGCCATTCCTCACTGACTTCTGGTCCCAGAAGTTCTGCTGTCCTCGGCCTGGACGTCCACCTGTGCCTGCACAGCTCTGTGGTTAAGAGCGCAGGCCCCGTGCTCTGACTTGCTCCCCACCAACTGAGCTCTAAGTTCCTGTTTCCTCATCTGCAAAATGGGGGTAGTTTCAATTCCTACCCTATGAGATTGCTTGGATAATCAACTGGAAAATGTCTACCCAGCCCAGTGGCTGCACATAGTGCTGGCATTAACTCAGCCCCTTTGGTCTAAATGCAACAAGTTGGGGTGGTGAAGTAGTGAGAGAGTGAGGTCCTGGGAAGGGGCGGCTGGAAGAGGGGGGCAGACAGCAAAATGGGGTTCTAGGGAGGGCCACGGTGTCAACCTCAGGCCCAGTGGGCACAAATTGCAAGACCAAGTTGAATTTCAAAACTTCCGTGGTCTGAAAGGTGTGCTGGGTGAGAGATGAGCTCACGGAACTAAGCCAAGAAAAAAGCCCGCGGCCAGCAGAGAGGTGATGACCTGGCTCTGGGAGGGAAGGGCGGCGGAGAGAGGCTGCCTGAGTGGGACAAACGGGGCTGGGAGGTTGCCAGTGCTTTCAACAGTTTGGGGACCTAGGAAGAGGCATGCGGCTGAGAAGCTGTGAGCCCAGCAAGGCCAGGTGTGGGCCATGACCATGAGCTAATGCCCTATCTCCAGTGGTCCCTCCAGTTGGGGCCACTCTAGGGGGAGCTGACACACGCACCTGTGACATGGGCTGGGCTGAAGGAGGCTGTGGCTCTGTGGCTGGCTGGCAGAGGCGGGGACCGCTGGAGTCTGTGGGCCACAGGCACCCGCTCTGGACACCCTCGGCCGCCCGGCCTGCTGGCAGTGGGTCCTTCCTCAGATGGTCAGAGGCAGCCTGAGGTGTGCAACCTCATGGAGGGAGGACGCTGCTGTCACAGGGATGTGAGCCAGTGACCAGAGGAGCCCAGGCCACTTTGTCAGCCCCTCCTCAAACGCTGGGGAGGTCCAGGTGCGGGGAGGGACCCCAGGCCATGGGGGCACAGGCTAACGAGGCTGCGAAAGCCATCTGTTCACGTGGTTGGGTCGCCCCCTGCCCCCTAGTTACCCAGACTGGAGGGGAGCGGGCCGGAGCCACATTGGTGCACCAGCCCCGCGGCTTCAGCCCCACACGGAGGCCACGTTCTCTGAGACTCCTCAGTTACGGACGCTGCTGGAGTCATGAGGACACGCCTGGGCTGGTTACGAGGAATACTATTACACAAACTGGAGTAACAGTACCTAACGCGCTTTGCCTTTTTCCCCAGATGTGGGACTTCATCTCCTCACGTGTAAACTTCCTCATCTGTAAAATGGAAATAAACACTGTCTCACAGTGTTGCAGCGAGGATGAAATGAGCTGATACATGCCGAGAACTCAGCACCGGGTGAATGTTAGCTTCAATTATAATTGCTGTCATCTAAAACATGCTTAAGGGCAGAAGGCAAGGAGCTACTTGGTCGGGAGGTCCCGACAACGGCCTACAGCAGCGCTTCTGAGTGTGGTCCCGGCCTCGCAGCTCAGGGGCACCTGAAACCATTAGGAAATGCCAACTGCCGGGCCCTGCCCCGCTGTGGGGGCGGGGCCCCGGAGCTGGGTCTCAGCAGGCCCTTCGGGGCTCCGGGGGTCTGAGGCCGGCTCTTTTGAGCACCCCTGCCCCAGGAGGTCATCCTGGGTGTCAGCAGCTGCGTCCGACCTGCTGGTTGTCAGCCCTCACAGTCTCCTAGGCAAGCTGGATCGTAAGGCAAGGATGCTGCATCCCTCTGACTTCTCACCTGGGACAGGTCCCCGTGACGGTCAGGTCCTACCCCACCCCTCCTTCCACGGGCGAGAAGAGTCGCAAAAAGTCATCTCTCCACAGCACAACTGCTGGGTGGCCCGGATGACGCCCAGTGTAAATCTATACCAGTTCCTCCTACGAACCTGCACTGAGGGCCTTTCTCTGAAAGCAAAAAAAGACCAGTGGCCTTAAGAGACTGAACTAATTCCATAACCCCATCACCCGTTTGGAAGAAGGGAGGGTATCTGCACTGGGCTAGCTTTTACTGAATTAAAAAAATTAAAATTAGGGCTGGGTGCGGCAGCTCATGCCTGTAATCCTAGTACTTTGGGAGGCCGAGGCAGGAGGATTGCTTGAGGCCAGGAGTTTGAAGAGTAGCCATCTCTACAAAAAAATTAGCCATCTCTAAAAAAAATTAGCTGGGCGTGGTGGCACGAGCCTGTAGTCCCAGCTACTCGGGAGGGTGAGGTGGGAGGATCGCTGAGCCCAGGAGTTTGAGGTGGCTGTGAGCTATGATCACATCGTTGCATTCTAGCCCGGGCAACAGACCCTGTCTCAAAAAATAAGTAAATAAATAAACTTAGGGATAAATACATCAAGATACATGGAACTAATATCCTGATGTAGGATTTCTCTTAAGAAAGCTATTTGCTGAGCATAGAGGAAGAAAAAGGTCATGACTAACTACTGTAAAACTGCCGGAGCCCCAGGGAGGAGACATATCAAATGGTCTCTCACTAGCAATGGCTGTACGTGAGAACTTTCTCAGAACTTTCACCCAGTGTCTGGAAACACTGACTAATCGATGGAAAGCACAGCATTACCACAAAAGCACTTGGAGAGCCTGTTTATTGCATAACTAGCAGGCACGAATTACAAAACAATTTTACAACACTTAAAGGGCACAATAATTACAGGAATAAAATGTACAATAAAAATGAAAGGTAAGTACAAAATGAGTGACAGGGATCAAATACATTGGAATAAAAGGCATTTCATTTCTCCTATGCAGCATTTTCTTCTGTAAGAACAAGTGTTACCTTTAGGACGAGGAGAAGGAGGAAATTGCACTATTGGAGACCTCATGGGTGCTGTTGAGGACAAAACCATGCTAGTTCCATTCTTGGGTCTGCAACTGAAGTCACTTGAGGAATCGTACAACAGCTCCTGAGTTGTGCGTTTATAGTTCCAATTTGATGAAATGCTGTATTTGATCTTTGGGCCCAATTCATTGTTCTTTGGCAAATAAGAACTATTTGCATCCCGAGGCAGAAGACGATTTCTGTGAAAGGAGCTTAGGGGTAGAGCTGTTTCCTTCTGTCAGCCAAGTGCCAGTTTCATAAAGTGCAACTCTGTCCCATCAGCACAGGAGCAGGGAAGCATAATGGAGAACAAGGGGCAAGAACATTACAGAATCCAGAAGTCATGAGTGCAGGGCTACGGAATCCATGTGCAAAAGTGGCCAGAACAATCGTTCAGACAAGGTGCGATATGCCAACAGGAGCAGAGAACTCTGACACCAGATCTCACCTGAGGCTAAGGAAATGCACAGGGCAGGAAAGGGACCACCTGCAGCCCTCTGATTGCCACATGTCACTCCACCTGGGGACTTCTTTAGGAGTTTTGGCACTGTGGGTTAACCAAGCAAACTCTTCTGTAGTAGTATTATAACTGGAAACACTTTGTGGTCTCCATGTTCCTTGACTTTCTCTAGGGTCATAAAGACAACATCCTCTTTTGCAGGTCCTCAAGTGCCCAAGGGAAGACATGACTTCACCTGCTGCAGACAACTCATTTCCCAGAAGCCCCTACAAAAGCCTGTCCCCGCAAGAGGCCAAGGGCACTGGCTCTGGACTGCCACAGGGCCTTTCCCGAGGGCCTTGGGTAGCTCCCGCAGTACATGAAACGTGCAGAAAAGGTTACCAGATGGCATCTGAACTTGAAGTAGGAAGTCCCCTTCCAGAAGGCATCCCCTGAACATCCACGAGCAACACGGCACTTAGGCTGTGTGACAAACAAGTGGATGAGTCTTTTGGAGATGTGGACCCTTTTCCCATGCTCCTTGCAGCAGAGCGAAGCCCGACGGAAGCACCCACACACCAGGACTCAGCAAACCAAACACCACTGTGACGCTGCTTTCAGGACGGCATCCGGTCATGCTACAAAGGTGTGTGTGAGCCACTTCTGTGAAAACAGAGACTTAGCACGTGTTGAGGCGACTTGTACTTGGATTAGTCTGACATGCTCACATGAGTGAACGAGCACTATGGGACAGAACCTATGGGTAAGAAGAGGAATGGCAGCAACTTCACATGGGGTAGGGCAGCTTCATTCCAGGTAAGGCTCAAAGGCTAATCCAGGTGTGTGCAGCGAAGCCGGCCCTCACGCTGCACAGCCTACAGGGCCCTGGGCCAGAGGCTGTGAGCTGGCAGCATGGAGGCCACAGCTCACCGGCACATGTTCTCTGAAAAGGTTAGAAGTGGTTGCCAACACTTATAAATGGAGAGATGGTGCATATATATATTATATTTTATATATATATAATATAATATATATATATATACTCTGGATTTCTGGTGTCTCTTGAAAAATCAAAGCTCTGACAACCCCAGGCCCACTTCTCCACATGGCGACATGAGCGGCACTGGGGAGCTGCTGTCCCTGCTGGGTGGGCCATGGGTTTCCCAGATGTGTCCTCCACCCCACTGCACCTGCTCTGTCAGGTCAGGGTCCACCCCACACCCACACGAAACTGCAGCAATAAGCAGGAACGAGAAGATGCTCTCACATTCAGACCAGAAAGGGCTTTTTCATAACTGAAACAATTTCAGCATGTTCCAGCACTTAAGGCTGTGCTCTTTCATAGCTCTGAGAGAGCTAGCAGCCAGCTGGAGCATACTGTCTAAGGAATTCTTAAAAGTTGATGCCCGACTTCTGAGTACCAGCAAGGGAAAGGAGGAGAAACTGACTCAGATGACTGCATACATTTTGCCTTGCAAGAAGTCCTTAAAGAGACAGAAACACGTGAAGCAACTCATGTGAGAAAGCTGCAAGGGGGAATTCCAAGAGGAACTGAGATTTGGATGGAAGGTATGACACAGTGTTGGGGAAGTTACCTCTTTTCCTCACAGTTCGTGGCAGTGACATCTGAACAGGTGGTACAAACTCGGCCATGACTTGTTAGTATGATGCTTCTTTATGCTGCACATTTTGAATTAAGCCATCTGGCTAATGGGGTAAGGCAGAGCACTTGACAATGGGTGAAAATGCGGGCGGTGTTCGTAGCCTGCACATGGTCTAATGAGGCACACCATGGAAGGTGAATGCTTTATCTGACTCCATGGAGATTTCAGGATGATAGTAACGTATAAAGAGATACAAGATCGAGATAAAAAAATTAAATAACAACATTTAACATGATAGAACAGTAAGAAGAAATGGATCAATTCATTGTTGCCTTTTGAGAGAGACTATTACACTACTTTTAGAAAGTGGCAAAGTCCTTTCTCTACATACATGCTTGGAGATACCCCAAACTTAGAGATTTCGCAGTAGGCTGGAAAAATCACTTATTGCACGATGACTGGCAGGGAACAGGTAATGGTGACAATTTTTTTTTTTTG